AGTTAGTTTACATTTGAGTGTGTGTGTGCCCATGTACACAAGCACACACACACACGCGCGCGCGTGCGCACACATTACATGTTAGGAGCATTGAGCAACTTGTGGGAGTCATTTCCTCTTCCTCACTAGGTGGGTCCTGGGGATCAAACCTAGGTCATCAAGCTTGGCAGCAAGCACCCTTAACCTCTGCTCCATTTCAGCAGCCCAGACCTTTTTTTTTTTTTTTTTTTTTTTCTCTCCACATTATTCAACTTGGCATCAAACTCATAATCAATCCTCCCGTCTCAGCCTCCCAAGTTCTGTGAGCCACCACAGCTGGCCTTTAGGACTTTAAAAGGAAGGCATGAATAACTCATAAATTTTGTTGGGCAAAAAATAAGGGAAGAGACAGTGAAAGTTTGATACAGAAGCAAACTTTATTAAAAAAAAAATCACCATGAGGCACAAAACGTTTAACAGTTAACTGGGACCACAGCCGGAGTTGGGGCTTCTGGAACTGTGGAAATGGGGGCTGGTTTCAGGCCTCTTCCTATAGTAAAATCAAGGACCACATGTGGGTCAAAGAGCGTTCACAACCTTGAGGTCAGGCTTAGAGTCACATTACAGTTTTAAGTTTTACGACTTTTAGTTATGGGATATTAGGGTGTTAGCTTAGGATGTTTGCAAAAGCCTGTGGCGGACACAGCCAATATTCGCTGTCCCTAGAAGAATGCAAGGCAGAGAGCAGAGTTATGTAGGACAGTTAAAAATAAAGGGAATACAACACAGAGGGTCCAGTAGAGGCAATGGTTAGAAGCCAACCTTTGTCTGCTGTACCCACTTCCAGGACGCCTGCTCTTAAGGCAGAAAGCTTAATAGTAGATAGTAGCTACCAGTTTTTTTTTTTCAAAAATGTGTTTGGGCTTACAATTTTATATTTCTACATTCCTGGACCCTTCAATTCTGTATTCCTATTTCTGGACCTTTCAGTTTTAAATAATTTATGTCCCTGAATGGTCAGGTCCCTCCATCTTCTTGGTTTCTATGGTGATTTTTCATTAGGTCTTAACATTCTTTTTACATTTCTGGTCTAAATTTGGCTTGTCCATGATATGCTTTTAAAAATCTAATGTTGGGTTGGGCTTGCTAATATTTTGTCTAGGATATTTCTGGGTATGTTTTTTCTTTCTGAATTGTTTTGTATAGTTTTAAAATTAAAGTTCACATTATAAAATCAGTGAAAAAACATCCTTCTTCCAAGCTCTGGAAGAGAGTATGTAAAGTTGAAACTCCACAATCCTCAAATATCTGATAAGAGTTTCCAATAGGGCAGTCACTCAGTTACTGTTAATAAAGCACAGAGGCTTGCAAGCAAGCCTTGGTTTGTATAAACTAGGGCGGATTCAGAACCTCTTTCACTTGAAAGTCTGAATGGCACTTTCAAGAAGGAGCTGGGTGAGGTGGCTTACTCCTGTAATTGCACACTAGGGAGGTTGAGGCAGGAGGATGGCTGTGAATTTGAGACCAATCTGGGATACATTGTGTGGTGGAGCTAGAGATGAGAATAAATAGGGGGCAGCTCTAAGAACCGTACACAAACCTACACTGCTCAGCAGTTCACTTCCCTGTGAATTTACTGTTTCCGATGACTTGTAAGCACTTAGGTTGATGAAAGGCTTGAAGTCTGGAGGCGGCTACAGGGTTTGTCTGCCATTCCCAATGTTCTTGTTTTCATTTCAAGCACAAGGAAAAAGGAGAAATTCCACTTACATAAAAAAGAACAATGCAATAAAATAATATCTTCCTGTAGTCAACTGAAATCTAAGCACATTAGATGGAAAATTCCAGAAATGAATAATTCATAGATTTTAAATAACTTATTACGAGGATGGCAATGACTACTATAATCCAAGAACAAAGAGTTATCACTACAGAAGACCATTGTCTCCTTGTGGAGGTTACCATTGTCTGTTCTCAGTTTTGGCTTTTTCATCTTGTGGAAGATACCCTCAAGTCAGAAAGTCTTGCTTGTTATAATGTTGGACGGATAACTCGGGATTTCACATTTGGAAAGTACATGTTTCATCAGTGAGCTACGTTTCCAGCTCTGAGACTTTTTTCATCCAGTTTGGGGAGGAGTTTGGATAGTTTTCTATGTAGCTCAGATTGGCTTCAAACTCACTATGTCATTTCGTAGTCTCCAAATGGGGACCTGAGATCTTCCTGCCTCAGCCTTCTGAGTGCTGGGATTATACACACATTCCAAGAGGCTTATTACTAAACATTTTAAAGCCACTCTGAGCAGATGCCTTCTCTGTGCCTGTACCCCACTTCTCATTGGTCTGATCCCTTTCCAGGTTTCCCCAAAGACAGATTTCTCAACCTCTGAGCTGGAAGAGGTTCTATTGACCAGTGCTGGCTCACCCAGCCCAAGAGGATACAATGTCCCCGGAGCGTTCCCTCTACCCTGGGTCACTTACTCACTATTGGGAGGGAAGCTACTTCCATTTGTTTGTATTTCTTAAGCCTATTTCAAAGGGAGGAGTATTTGACACCTTTAGCAAGAAAGATTGCTGTGTTCTTAACCAACAAATAGTGTCTGTAACCTCTGCCCTCAGCCTTGCTTGTGTGTTATCTTACTACCCTCTCTCTGTCTGTCTGTCTCTTTCTCTGTCTCTGTCTCTGTTTCTCTGTGTGTCTCTCTCCTGGTAAATAAGCAGTCTTGAAGAACTCTGCAGGCCACATCCCAGAGAAGGTTCACTGCTCTCCTGTGATTTTTCTTTTTATCTCCTTACATTATGACTCTCACAGGCCCTAGATACTTTTCCCTTTCAGGATCCCTTTCCTTGGAGAAAGAAGAAAACTTAGAAACTTTATTTCACACCTGCATTCTAAAGGTGAATGCAACTGAGACAAAGGACACCAGTGATTATGTTGATTTTTTTCTTTCTCGCAATAAGAGATATTAACAGAAAATGTATCTGTGAATCCCTAAAAGTGCCTTGAAGCCCAGTAAAATAGAATTTGCTATGCTGCTTAAGCCACTCTCCCACACAGCTTAAGTTGGAAAGATTTTGGTCAAATGATCTGTGTCCATATTTTAATAATGTAGTGTTACAGTCTATGACATATGGTTCTTGGCTTCTAAGTTTGATGTGAGGAAAACAGAAGTTTCATGGGCTCCATCACGTGTCACTAACTATTTTTCAAAAATATCTACAATGGAAGCAAATCACCACTGCAAATCTCTTACTATAATATTTGTTGGTAATTTGGTGTGTGTCTGTGAGCAGAATGCATGGCTGTGGTAAAATAAACAAAGCTTTGCAGAAATCGCCCTAAAAAGTCCTTGTTTCTTTTAATTGAAGGTACAACAACAATGATACCAGCATTTTCCACTGGCACCAGCCCACCTCAAATGACCACAGAAACCTCTACAGATATGACTTCAAGTAACACAAGAAATGAAACAAATGTTACTCAAAATTACACATCTGTCATTACCAGAGTCTCAACCACAAGTCTAGCAACTGACCAGTTAACAGTATCAGCACGTAACACCTTTACTCAGAAACTGTCAACACCTTCTCAGCATTATCACAGTGAAAGCATGGAGACCAGCAGCACACCTCAACCCACCCTCACAGAGGTGATCACAACCAAAACTTCACACTCTCCAAGTGGTTCAACATCTGCACAGACAGTGTTCCAAGTGACAACATCTGCAAATGAAAGAACCAACCCATCCTCCTCCAGTGTTACCAACATATCCCCAGACACACCAGAGGTGCTACACACACAATCCTCTACAGTCTCCACCTCAGGAAATACAGGACACACAGCTCCAATTGTATCTCCAAGTACCTCCTCTATGATTACTGGACTGTCAAAGACAAATTTGCCCAGTGTCCTGTCAACGCTGTCAACACCTATCACCTCTACTCAGGAACTGTCAACCCTTTCTCAGAACCACCAGAGTGAAAGCATGGAGACCAGCAGCACACCTCAAACCACCTTAACAGAGGTGACCACACCCAATCCTTCACACTCCCCAAGTGGCTCAACTACCTTACAGACAGTGTCCCAAGCAACAACATCTCCAGATGAGACAAGCAACCCATCCTCTACTAGTGTGACCAACAAATCTACTGCCACATCAGAGATGCTAATCACAGCACACTCTACAGCCTCTTCCCCAGGAAGCACAACTATGGATTTTACCCAAAACTCTGTAACTGTCACAAAAGTGTCAATGACATCTTTAGCACAGGAACCATCAACAGTGTCAACACCCCTCACCTCTACTCAAGATTTGTCAACATCCTCTCAGAACGACCAGAGTGAAAGCATGGAGACCAGCAGCACACCTCAAACCACCCTCACAGAGGTGACCACACCCACCCCTTCACCCTCTCCAAGTGTCTCGACTCCTGCACAGACAGGGTCCCAGGTGACATCAGTTGAAACAACCAACCCATCCTCTTCCAGTGTGACCAACACATTCCCAGCCACATCAGAGAAGCCAACCACAGCACCATTTACAGACTCTGCTCCAGTAAGCACTACTTCAGGGATTAGCCAAAACTCTGTAACTGCCACAGAAGTCTCAATGACATCTTCAGTACAGGAACTGTCAACACTGTCTTCTCCCATCCCCTCTACCCAGGAATTGTCAACATCTTTTCATAACCACCAGAGTGAGACCAGCAGCACACATGAAAGCGCTCTCACAGAGGTGACCACATCATATCATTCATCCCCCCCAAGTGACTCAGCTCCTGCACACACAGCGTCCCAAGGAACATCATCTCTTTTTGAAACAACCAAACCATTCACTTCCAGTGACACCAATATTTTGCAAACCACAACACAGGTGCTACCCACAGCACCATCTACAGACTCCACCTCAGGAAACACAGGGCACACATCTCCAAGGGTGTCTCCAAGTTCCTCCTTTGTGAGTACTGGAGTGCCAATGACAAATTCTCCAAATCCTCTGTCAACAGTGTCAACAGGCATCACCTCTACTCAGGAATTTGGGACATCTTCTCAGAACCACCAGAGTGAAAGCATGGAGACCAGCAGCACACCTCAAACCACCCTCACAGAGGTGACCACACCCACCCCTTCACCCTCTCCAAATACACGCACTCAGACACAGTCAGAAAGAGCCACTCCATATACCCACACCATGAGCAGTTCACTTCCAAGTACACCCTCTACAGAATCTACCTCAGAGAATACAGGACACACAACTGCAATAGTTACCCAAAGCTCAGCACCAGCCTCCACAGAGGACTCAATGACACCCTCAGCACAGGAACTGTCCACAGTGCCTACACTCAGCACCTCTACTCAGGAATTGTCAACACCTTCTCAGAACCACCAGAGTGAAAGCATGGAGACCAGTAGCACACCTCAACCCACCCTCACAGAGGTGAGCCCACCTACTCCTTCACACTCTCCAAGTGGCTCAAGTCCTGCACAGTCAGGGTCCAAAGTGACATCATCTCCAGTTCAAGCAACAAACCCATCCTCTTCTAGTGTGACTAATAGATCTCCAGCCACATCAGAGATGCTAACCACAACACCCTCTACAGCCTCTTCCCCAGGAAGCACAACTTCATGGATTACCCAAAACTCTGTAACTGCTACAGAAATCTCAATGACATCTTCAGCACAGGAACTGTCAACAGTGTCAACACCCATCAAATCTACTGGAGATTTGTCAACATCTTCTCAGAACGACCAGAGTGAAAGCATGGAGACCAGCAGCACACCTCAAACCACCCTCATAGAGGCGTCCACACCCAGTCCTTCACACTCCCCAAGCGGCTCAACTCTTGCACAGTCAGGGTCTCAAGTAACAACATCTCCAGATGAAATAACCAACCCTTCCTCTTCCAGTGTCACCAACATTTCCCCCACAACATCAGAGATGCTAACCACAGCACCCATTACAGCCTCTTCCCCAGGAAGCACAACTATGGATTTTACCCAAAACTCTGTAACTGTCACAAAAGTGTCAATGACATCTTTAGCACAGGAACCATCAACAGTGTCAACACCCCTCACCTCTACTCAAGATTTGTCAACATCTTCTCAGAACGACCAGAGTGAAAGCATGGAGACCAGCAGCACACCTCAAACCACCCTCACAGAGGTGACCACACCCACCGCTTCACCCTCTCCAAGTGTCTCGACTCCTGCACAGACAGGGTCCCAGGTGACATCAGTTGAAACAACCAACCCATCCTCCTCCAGTGTTACCAACATATCCCCAGACACACCAGAGGTGCTACACACACAATCCTCTACAGTCTCCACCTCAGGAAATACAGGACACACAGCTCCAATTGTATCTCCAAGTACCTCCTCTATGATTACTGGACTGTCAAAGACAAATTTGCCCAGTGTCCTGTCAACGCTGTCAACACCTATCACCTCTACTCAGGAACTGTCAACCCTTTCTCAGAACCACCAGAGTGAAAGCATGGAGACCAGCAGCACACCTCAAACCACCTTAACAGAGGTGACCACACCCAATCCTTCACACTCCCCAAGTGGCTCAACTACCTTACAGACAGTGTCCCAAGCAACAACATCTCCAGATGAGACAAGCAACCCATCCTCTACTAGTGTGACCAACAAATCTACTGCCACATCAGAGATGCTAATCACAGCACACTCTACAGCCTCTTCCCCAGGAAGCACAACTATGGATTTTACCCAAAACTCTGTAACTGTCACAAAAGTGTCAATGACATCTTTAGCACAGGAACCATCAACAGTGTCAACACCCCTCACCTCTACTCAAGATTTGTCAACATCCTCTCAGAACGACCAGAGTGAAAGCATGGAGACCAGCAGCACACCTCAAACCACCCTCACAGAGGTGACCACACCCACCCCTTCACCCTCTCCAAGTGTCTCGACTCCTGCACAGACAGGGTCCCAGGTGACATCAGTTGAAACAACCAACCCATCCTCTTCCAGTGTGACCAACACATTCCCAGCCACATCAGAGAAGCCAACCACAGCACCATTTACAGACTCTGCTCCAGTAAGCACTACTTCAGGGATTAGCCAAAACTCTGTAACTGCCACAGAAGTCTCAATGACATCTTCAGTACAGGAACTGTCAACACTGTCTTCTCCCATCCCCTCTACCCAGGAATTGTCAACATCTTTTCATAACCACCAGAGTGAGACCAGCAGCACACATGAAAGCGCTCTCACAGAGGTGACCACATCATATCATTCATCCCCCCCAAGTGACTCAGCTCCTGCACACACAGCGTCCCAAGGAACATCATCTCTTTTTGAAACAACCAAACCATTCACTTCCAGTGACACCAATATTTTGCAAACCACAACACAGGTGCTACCCACAGCACCCTCTACAGACTCCACCTCAGGAAACACAGGGCACACATCTCCAAGGGTGTCTCCAAGTTCCTCCTTTGTGAGTACTGGAGTGCCAATGACAAATTCTCCAAATCCTCTGTCAACAGTGTCAACAGGCATCACCTCTACTCAGGAATTTGGGACATCTTCTCAGAACCACCAGAGTGAAAGCATGGAGACCAGCAGCATACCTCAAACCACCTTCACAGAGGTGACCACACCCACCCCTTCACTCTCTCCAAATACACGCACTCAGACACAGTCAGAAAGAGCCACTCCATATACCCACACCATGAGCAGTTCACTTCCAAGTACACCCTCTACAGAATCTACCTCAGAGAATACAGGACACACAACTGCAATAGTTACCCAAAGCTCAGCACCAGCCTCCACAGAGGACTCAATGACACCCTCAGCACAGGAACTGTCCACAGTGCCTACACTCAGCACCTCTACTCAGGAATTGTCAACACCTTCTCAGAACCACCAGAGTGAAAGCATGGAGACCAGTAGCACACCTCAACCCACCCTCACAGAGGTGAGCCCACCTACTCCTTCACACTCTCCAAGTGGCTCAAGTCCTGCACAGTCAGGGTCCAAAGTGACATCATCTCCAGTTCAAGCAACAAACCCATCCTCTTCTAGTGTGACTAATAGATCTCCAGCCACATCAGAGATGCTAACCACAACACCCTCTACAGCCTCTTCCCCAGGAAGCACAACTTCATGGATTACCCAAAACTCTGTAACTGCTACAGAAATCTCAATGACATCTTCAGCACAGGAACTGTCAACAGTGTCAACACCCATCAAATCTACTGGAGATTTGTCAACATCTTCTCAGAACGACCAGAGTGAAAGCATGGAGACCAGCAGCACACCTCAAACCACCCTCATAGAGGCGTCCACACCCAGTCCTTCACACTCCCCAAGCGGCTCAACTCTTGCACAGTCAGGGTCTCAAGTAACAACATCTCCAGATGAAATAACCAACCCTTCCTCTTCCAGTGTCACCAACATTTCCCCCACAACATCAGAGATGCTAACCACAGCACCCATTACAGCCTCTTCCCCAGGAAGCACAACTATGGATTTTACCCAAAACTCTGTAACTGTCACAAAAGTGTCAATGACATCTTTAGCACAGGAACCATCAACAGTGTCAACACCCCTCACCTCTACTCAAGATTTGTCAACATCTTCTCAGAACGACCAGAGTGAAAGCATGGAGACCAGCAGCACACCTCAAACCACCCTCATAGAGGCATCCACACCCAGTCCTTCACACTCCCCAAGTGGCTCAACTGTTGCACAGATGGTGTCCAAAATGACAACATCTTTAGATGAAACCCATCCGTCCTCTTCCAGTGTTACCAACAGATCTCTAGCCACACCAGAGGTGCTAACCACAGCAGCCTCTACAGTCTTCACCTCAGGAAATACAGGGCATACATCTCCACAAAGTTCCTCCTCTGTGACTACTGGGGTGCCAATGACAAATTTGCCCAGTGTCCCGTCAACATTGTCAACACCCATCACCTCTACTCCTTCTCCCTCCCCGAGTGGACAGACTCTGTCACAGACAGTTTCTTGGGGGATATTCTCCTCTGCTGAAGTAACTACTCCTTCTTTTTCTTCTGGCATGAGTTACCCTTCTACAGCCACATCAGATGTATTCAGTGCTACATATGCCACTTCAGTAAACACAGTGCATACACCTACACATGCATCTGGGAGCCCCGGTGTTGTCACATCAAGAGACTCAACTCTAGCTGCACAATCAACAATCCTAGCGGACAGCACCTCTACTCTGCCATCATCTACACATTCTCAGAGTCACCACAGTACAAGCATGACCACCTCCAGCATATCTCAAACCAGCACCCTCACAGAGATGACCACACAAAGCCATTTGTCCTCTTCGCCTGGACCTAATATGACAGACATCCCCTCTCATGGAACATCCTCCTCAGGTGAGTTATCTATGTGGCATTACAGGCAAGGGTAGAGGGGAGGTTCCGCACCATGAATGGTGACTAGCCCTCCATTGCTTCTGTCCTGAATACTCATACATGGAAGCACTGACTTTGACCAGTATGTGGACACACATTTTCGTTGTCTTTCTCAGCCCCTCATTTTCTCTGACTCTCAATTTCCCTGATGTAAAAGCTACTCTTGTTTATTCTCTCTTCATTTCTAGGAATGACCACAAGCTCCCTGAAGACAGACAGTGACAGAGGCACATCACTCTCTGTTACCTCCGTGACCTTTACCGCTCCCAGCTCAAGCACAGCCTCCAGGTCAACAGTATCCTCACTCCCTAGTTTCTCAGAGCAGGGTGAGTGATGCAAATAATGTAGCCCGTGTCTGCCTTCTAGCTGAGCCAGATGTCAAGACTGTAGCTGGGATTGCTGGACTGGATTTGCTAATGTAGGTCTTTTTGTATAGCCAGGGGATCCAGTCCTTTGGGTTTCTACCCTGTCCCATCCAGGCCACAAATATGTCGCCTTTCCCCTGTGTTCCCTCTAGAAGGACGATGACTGTGGGTGCAGAGCCTGCTAGCTTACAGTCTCTGCTCTTTGGGATCAGAGATTCCTGGGAACAATGAGATAGCACTAAAACTTGGTGCTGAGGGCTATTGTGTGCATTGCATTGGGCTGGGAGAGGAAGATAGGGGAGTGATCAAGGTACTGTTTGACTCTTCTGTAGATGAAAGACCAGGACACTAAGTACAAGCACTCACTAGCCTCTAAGGGTTGTGGGAAGAGGATCAAAGTGAACAGGAGGCTTCCAGAGAAGAGCTGTGGGAGGGAAAGCACCCTAGATAGGTCCAATGATCTGAGCAGCTAGAAAGTCATGGGAGTGAAAGCACAGTCCTTGTGTTGAGTGGGGTGGGAGCTCGATGCATTTGCAATCACCAGGAATCAAGTTGAGCTATGGTATAGAGTGAGACCCACTTGGAAACACTTAGGACAAAGTTTAACAAACTGGAATCCAAGGATATTTATGGTGGCCTAGGGCAATTCTAGGGGGGGGTCTTCAAATTTATCTGGAGAAATACCATTTTAGGATACGAGTGCCCTATTATGAAGAGGCCTTTAAGTGATTAGTCTCTGTTGTCTCAGAGTTTCGTCTTTTCACCCTCGGGCAGTTCTGACTTCCTGATTAGAGCCTACAGTGGATACTCTAATGGCAGGGCTGTTATGTCAGGATGCTTTAATCTGAGGAATGATGTGGGTACCAGCTAAGGAATAAACAAGAGATGTACTAGATACGCATGGAGCAGCCGAGTAAAGAGTCAGAGCCTACAGGGTCTCTTCAGGTAGAGGGGACAAGGAGAGAGGGGCAGGTTAGGGAAAGCTTGCTCAGGACTCCTCTGAACCTAAAAGGAGGTAAAGGCACACAAGAGTATTATTTTCTCCTCTGTCCTGAACTAGGCATTTCCCTCTTCCCCTACGGGACAAGCCCTCAAGTTGGAGACCAGCAGTTTTTTGCCAGGACTGTGGATTTCACCTCCAGGCTCTTTAAGCTCCAGATTGGCTTTCCGCTTGGCTCCTCTCTGCGGGATTCCTTCTACGTGAGTCTCTGACTGAAGCCCTTGTGTTGTCTGGGCCCTGTTTTCTCTGCCCAGCTTGGAGATGGCTCATGGCTGAGCAGAAGGAAGAGTAGAAGTCACCTTGGTTGAACAACATCTTTGTAGCCTTCTTTTATATCAGTTTCTAGTTGTGGAAATCATAATGATGCCATTCCTCCCTGCCCATGTGGACAAAAAACATCCTTACCCTAGTAAAAAGAGACCACGGCTGTTTCACAAGCTTTTGTATGAGGAAGAAGCTATGCTTGAAAATTTGGTTCACACCGTTTCCATTTCTTGTGATTACTTCCCGATTCCCTGGGAGTGGTGATCCAGCTCTTCTTGCTCTCAGGGAGAAGAGTAGAAACACCCAATGAGAGCCCAACACAGCAACAGGAGGGAGGGTGTTGGCTCTTTTACCCTCTGATGCTTCACAAGCTTCAAGGGCAAAGCTTTATCAAGAAGGCTTTGCTCTGACAGAAGCTGGGCAGGACATAGTCTACTACTTTGAACTGATATGAGGATGTCCTGATAGGGATGAGTTATTTGTAATGTTCCTAGGTAAAGAAAGAGTTCTCCTAGAAGGTGAGAAGCAGACGAGGAGACTGTCAAGGTTGACACCTCTCATCCTCTGCACAGATAGGCTGTCAGGGGCCATGCTTCTGAGGAGCTGGCCCTAGAAGGGATAGTGCTTCCTTCAACCCTCACTAACCAAGAACCCTGTGCTCAGTTCACAGATAATGGCCAGATCATTTTCCCAGAGTCAGACTACAGCATCTTCTCCTACCCCAACCCACCTCAAAGTGGCTTCACGGGAAAGGAACGTGTAGCCATGGTGGCCCCATTCTGGGGTGATGCTGATTTCTCTAGCTCCAGGGGAGTCATATTTCACCAGGTGGGTCATTCAAGGCCTTGATGGTCAGGGGTTCCAGCATCCTGCCAGGAGAGATCAAGGGCACTTCAAGGGTGTTGTACCACAGCCTAGATTTGCTTGGAGAGGGACTGAAGCTTAAATATGGGGTAGGGAAGAAGCGAAGCAAAAAATGCTAAATAGACTTGGCAAACCCTATTCCAACCGTGGGAAGGTCTGCAGGAGACAGCGATGGGAGGTTGGAAGTTAAACAGACCCCCACACTTCTGATTTAAGTTAATAATGCCAGCCTGTCAAAGTATGCTGCATCGGCTGTCACCGCAAATGTGCTCTGTGTTATCTGCCATTTACAAGGAACTACCTAGGTCCCAAAGATGGAAAGTCACACGCCTGGCCTTCAGGAGTTACAAGCTAGACAAGGGAATGTAAAACTTGTAAATATGACACACGGTCATATCACCCAAGCCAATTTGAGCTACTATATTCATCTGTTCAGTTCTAGAAGATTTAACTTTCTAGGTGGGGACTTTGTAGTTCACATGCCCAGATTTTCCTGCAGCCTGAATTTAAATTGATCTTAAAGTCAAAAGAACTTGTAAAAATTCAGATTTAGGAAAAGATGTACAAGCAGCCATGGGCACTGAAGTGAACAGCATCCCCAAGCAGGAAGCAGGGACCGTTTAGGGCGTGGTCCTCACCCTTTAGTGTAGCTCCCCATGCTGTGGTGACACCAACCATAAAATCATTTTTGTTGCAACATCATGACTGTAGTTTTGCTGCTGTTATGAATTATAAGGTAAATACCAGATGTGCAGGATATCTGATATGCTACCCCTTTGAAAGGGTCATTGGACCCACAAGGGAACCATTGCCTTAGGGGCATTGAATGGGACTCTAATTTCCTTGCCGTTGCCTGCCTTCCTTTTCTAGGAATACAACACACTTTATGGTGAAAACATTGGGCTAGTCCGGGAGGTGGAGACTTTGATTAATGAGTTCACAGGTGACTGGACCTACAAAGCCAAGTGGACACTGAAAGTCACCTGGGTTAACGTTCCTGCCTATCCTGCCCAGTGGAGCTATGGGGTGAGTAGACCATGGGTGGCTCCCTGGGAGCCGGCTGGGAGCCAGACATCCCAATAGGCTGCTAGGGAGCCATCCATGACTGGAGGAAAGATTGATGGTTATAGTTCCCCTGAGAGCATGGTCTATTGAGTACTCACAGCGGGCCAGCCTGCCTCAAGTCAGAAAACTTAACTGCATTCACAGGTGAGAATGTCTGTGGACTGACAACTTCATATGATTTACAAAGTCAGCTTCCCTTTACTATAGTGAAATATCGGCACATGGCACTCCACAAACAGTTCACTGACTACCTACCTTGGACAGGTCCTCCATACAACACAAGTGGAGGGGACACCTGGACAGTGACTTTCATATCCCCGAGGGAGAGATAAGTAGGCCTGTCTCAGCTTTGCCATCTTGTCTGACCTCATAGCTCTCTCTTAAAAACCGTCCTCTAACTGGATTGCAACCCAGAATCCTTTATTTCCTCTCCCTGAAAAAAAAAGTTACAAAAAGGGAGATTTGGCCATTCTAAAGTGCTTCTACACCCAAGATGCATGAGGCTCTGGCTACAGCAAATTTGCCAATGTGTCCAGCCTGGATAGACCAGGGACGTGTGATAATACTGTGTCTGGTCAGGGGTATAGGGACACCAGAGAGGAAACCTCAGACTTCTCATAAATGTCTCTATTTGTTTCTCACCAACTTCCAGACCAATACCTACCAAGCCATCCTCTCCACAGATGGGAGCAGTTCCTATGCCCTGTTTCTCTACCAGAGTGGAGGGATGCAGTGGAATGTGATCCAGGGTCTGGGCAACCAAGTCCTCATGGGCTTCTCCAGGTAGGACAGGATCAGCTGGCTGTCAGCACTGAACTGTGAGAGATGAGGGTTTCCTGCTCACACCCCTATCCCATCCTAGAAGATGCAGCTGTTCCTGGTGAAAAGTCCCGCCCCCAGCATTCATCCTATCATCATTCCTATCCCAGCACCTGTGTACTGGAGCCTTCCACTTTTGACCTTCTTAGATTCACTGACATTTATTTTTTAGCTGACTTTTTCAGATAGCAGCTGCTCATTACACCTATTGCTTCTTATACTCTATCCATCTATCCATTCATCTATCTATCATAGCCACCCATGATAGCTGAACACTATCCTATAGCTAAGACCATTATCCTATAGGTCAAGAAAACTTAGGCTCAAGCAGATGAGTAATTTGCCCAAAGTGAGACTTTCAAAGTGTCAAAGTGGGCCTCTGAACACAGACATCCAAGGTTGGAATGTGTGGCTTCTGGTGCTCCACAGCTTAGCTGGAGAAGGAAGTGAGGAGAATGGCTATGGCTGGCTACAGTGTGAGCACGAAGGAGCTACAGTCTCTGAGTGCCTAACCACCTGCTTTGTGTGGCAATTAGTTGTGATGGTCATGAATCATGTGTTACCAGTAGTTGCCACAGATGGTTTTCTATTTCATTAGGGTGTGTTCAGGCTGCTCTCCAACCACATGGCTGACTGGCTTTTGATGTTCAATGAAGGAGGAGAGCATATAATCACCCAGGTAGCTAGCAATTTCACACCACCTTCAGTGTACCCAACAGAGACGCCATGCTTGTATGTGTCCTCTAGTCTGCATGACAGTAGAGCAAAGCTCAGGAGTCAATTCCTGTGGGCATTTCCTGCTGCAGCAGTATGGCTGCTGCTGCACACTTCCTTTCATCCTAGATCCACACTGATGGCGTAGGCAGGACCTTGAATCTGTTCTCCACTCAGATCCAAGGGATTGACAGATGTCACTGCATTGGATCTTTTCAGTGCTGTTTGGAGGCTATGGCTGACATCTCTTACACTCAGATATAAAACCTCCAAGTCAGACATGTTAAATACCCTTGACCCCCAAGTTAGTAAGTGCCAGAATCAATGGCTGAAAGTGATTGCCTGACCCCAGAAACCGCCTTGAACCATCCCTTGCAGTATGGCCCTTAGAGAGCTTCAAGGGAAAGGAAGGGGAATCTGTTGCTTTTACACCCTGTGTGTCCTGAGTGAGCCCGCCTGTTTCTCACTATCATTGATCAGATGTGGGAAAAAGAAGACGTTCTCCATCCCTACCCATCTTCTCTTCTTCCTCAGTACTGGGACCTGTGGCTCAATCTGCCCACCTGACTATGTTATGGGCAACCAGCTACCAACTGGGGGCTAGCTGGAATGACTGACAAACTAAGTGAATGAGTAGCTTGCATCTGAGAGCAAAGAGTCTGAGTGTGACACAGAGGCCTGAGAGTCTTTCCCTTTGCCTGCAGTGGAGATGGGTATTTTGGAAACAGCCCGCTGACATTCCAGCCAGCCACGGAGAAGTACCGTCCAGATCGATTCCTGAATTCCAAATTAGGTAAAAGGGACACCCACCATGTATGAGCTGGCTTTAGTCTTCCCTTTCCCTCTACTCCATATGCCATGGCAGTCTTAAGACCGTTGTAGCCTCTCCACCGCCCCAGAGAACAACCTGCACAGGCTACAGACTACCTACAGGTACATCAGCAGCTGGCATTGCTAGCAACGACTTCTTTTCACACCCTCAGCCCCTGTAAGTCCCCTTTGTTGGGAGAGCCAAGTCCAGGATGTCAGTGGGACTCAGGTTCTGGAGTGAGGACAATGGTATGGCAGGAGGGGAGCTAGGATGACCATCTAAATGTCTCATTCCAGGGCTGGAATGAAATCCTTAAGGAGATCCAAAAGGCTGACTGTCACTCAGTCGACAATACTGAGCAGCTATTATATGCCAGGCAGTAGGTTAACAGACAGACAATGAAAGGAGAGGGGAGAAAGGTCAACCATGTTGGCTGTCAACGAACATTCACTGTGGTAGAGACTCCAGTGTCCAGAGGCAAACTGTGGCTCTTCCTCCATGACTTAGTATAATAAACAGAGGCCCCAAAGGGAAAGAAATGCTAGCTCCCAGAATGTGATTGAGAAAAGGGCATACTAGCATTGTGGAGAGGTCAGCCATGTAGGTCTTGACACACGAGTCTCCGTCTATTTGATTTGGGACAAAGATGTTTGGCAGTCAGAAACTTGAGCGAAGTCAAATGAAGGAAGAGCTTCCCTATCACACCAGGGCCCTCTGTCAAACACATCTGCTCGTGATTTAGAGTGTCTCGTGGTGTGTGTGTATGTGTGTGTGTGTGTGTGTGTATGTGTGTGCGCGCGCACTCATGCATGTGTTTATGCATGTGTGTGTACGCGTGCCTGTGTGCATGTGTCCCTGCCTGTGTGCATGTATGTGTGTATGTGCTTGTGTGCAAGTGTGCATGTTTGTGTGTACTTGCATGTGAACAGATCATTATAAACTATGTTATTCTTCTGAAGACCTTCAGTTCCTTAATTCAGGAGGTTATAGGGTTGAAAATCTCATACACTGCATCATATTATGTTGGGGGTGGCGCTCTGGAGTCTTCTTTCCCTGAAGTTGTGTGTGTGGTATGAAACTTCCAATGAATTGAAGGTTTAAACTTTCCAACGCCATTAAGGAATTTTTTTAGTAACTGCTCCCTTCTCAAGATGGTGTCTGGGCCCAAACACAGTTTCCCCAGACTCCAGTGTTAGATCCAGGCCCCACTAGCGTGCCAACTTCTCTGTGGCTTCTGTCTGTCCTGGTTGCTTTGGCCACTGAAAGAGAAAGGAAGGGTGTAGCATGAAGACTGAGGGGTAGATAGTGTGTCTCTAGAGGCAGAAGTGAAGTGATTTAGGACTATGGCAGAAAGAGAGACGGGTGGAGGGAGGGAGGGAGAATGACCAGGGGTCAAGGGAGGGGGAAAGTAGGTAGATCACAGCGGTGCCTCCCTGCCCACCCTTGTCCCACAGTTTTGCCCTAAAGTCCAAGATTTGAAGTGTTTCGAGCTTATGTTCAGGGTAGTTTGGAGATAAGTCATTGCCAGTCTGAACTGGGTCCCTTTCTAGGAAGAGCTGTCCAGAGAGGCAGGAGTTTGCGTTGAGCCTAAAGCTGAAGCAGATCTCACAGGCCGTGTCCTGTGGTAATCACTGATGTCCTTGTTTCTCAGGCATCCGGGGGGTGCAGGTCTACAGGCTACATAAGGAGGTGAGGCCCAACTACCGACTCAAATGTCTATGGTGGCTGAACAACCAACCTCCGAGGCCCAGCTGGAGCTGGGGCTGGAGCCAGCTTTCCTGCCCTTGCTCCTGGCAGCAGGGACTATGGGACTTTCGGTTCTGGCGCATGACAGGTGATACCCTTTCCTGCCCTTCACAAGCCCGACTGACCTTCACCTCTGCTCACACCTGTCCTGCTCTATCCCAGGCACCCTGAGCACTCCCATGCCCAACCCACCCCACCCTCATCCATCTCCACCTGCCACAAGCTCCTTGGCCTGAGGATGTCCGTCTGGTCTCCTTGTAGGTTGGTGGAATAGCGGTAGCAGGCAGTTATGCAGCTTCTCCTCCTGGAGAGGTGGGGTGTGCTGCAGCTACGGCCGCTGGGGAGAGTTTCGAGAAGGCTGGAGGATGCACAGTCTTTGGCAGTTTGGTATGTGTCTCCTTGGAGATTCCAACCCATCTTAACAGGATGAAGACTTAGAATCACCTCGGTACAGATCTTCCAAGGGGGCTGGAGTGCAAGGAGATGAATGGGGCCGGGTAGCTTGCACCTGGCCACCCTTGGGCCTGCTCTGGTCTCTTTACACCATCATCTATGTCCTCTCATCCCCTGGCTCCCTGAGTGTGTGTACCGTGCGCCCTACTATGTAATAACCCCAACATGCCTTCAAGGAGGACACATGGTGTCGTTCCATCACAGATCACTGACAGTTTTTGGGTATGGAAAGGGGTGAACTGTGCCATGCCTGCCTCCAGGGTCACTGCTGCCGCCATAGTCTACCAAACCTGCCAACTGGCTCTCCGGGGGAGGGGGGCTCGCCCTCTGACAAACTGTTCTTCTCTACAGAACAGGAACAGGAGGCACAGAAATGGTGCTGCCACCTCAACGACAAGCCCTCCTTCTGTGTCCAGTACCATCACAGGCGGCCCCGCGTTAGCTGTGCTTGGTACAGGCCCCCACGGTTCGGTGAGCATTGTGGCTGAGGTGGAGCCTCCAGGAAGGGGGCCTGGGTTTGCACAAGAGCAGCCTCCTAGGGCAGACTTGTGGTTGCAGGGATGTTGGGGGACAAGTCAGTGTGAGGCTAACAGCAAAGAGAAGGGCTTTGTTTGTTGCATTGACAAATGGGTAAGAACGGGCCAGGGACTATACATACAAGAGGTCTTTGGGGCAGGTTCCGGGTGCCAGGAGTATTTGCCCAAGCTTGAGTCCACCAAGATAGATGGAGGCCCTACCTGGGCAGTGAGAGTCTCAGACCATGGCCCCAGTATGCTAATGTGTAACCTCCTTTCTTTTAGCTTGGACATATGGCGACCCCCACATCACCACTCTGGATAATGCCACTTACACATTCAATGGGCTGGGGGATTTTCTGCTGGTCCAGGCCCAGGACACAAACTCCTCCTTCCTGCTGGAGGGCCGCACTGCCCAGACCGGCTCTGCCAAGGCCACTAACTTCATTGCCTTTGCTGCTCAATACAACACCAACAGCTTGGCTTCTCCCATCACAGTAAGTGAGGGGGTATCCAGGGTGTCCTTGTATTCCCTTTCCCAGAACCCCTCAGAAACTGTCAGCTGGATACTGGAAGAGGAAGAGAATAAAGAAAGGAGGAGAGGTTGATTTTCAATTTTCTCACTGTTGTGTCCAAGTACCTGACAAGGAGCAGCTTAAGGAACGGGAGTGTGTGCTGGCTAGGTTTATGTCAACTCGACACAAGCTGGAGTCGTCTGAGAGGAGGGAAACTCAGTTAAAGAAAACACTTCCATAAGACTGAGGTGTAAGCAAGCCTGTAGGGTGTTTTCTTAATTAGTGATTGATGGGGGAGGGCCACTGTGGCTGGGGCCATCCCTGGGTGGCTGGTCCTGGCTTCTATAAGAAAGCAGACTGAGCAGGCCATGGGGAGCAAGCCAGTAAGCAGCACCCTCCATGGCCTCTGCATCAGCTCCTGCCGCCAGTTTGCTGCCCTGTTTGATTTCCTGTCCTGACTTCCTTCAGGGATGAACAATAACGAGGAGGCTTAAGCCAAATAAACCCCTTTCCCCATGCTTTGGTTATGATATTTTCCTCACAGCAACAGTAATCCAAACCAGGGCAAAGGTTTATTTTGGCTCCAGTTTGTAGGCGAAGTCCGTCCATCATGGCAGGGAGGCATGGCACCAAGCGTGTAAGGACACTGGTGACACACTGTGTCTACAGTCAGAGGCGAGTGCTGGGCTCATCTCTCCTCCTTTTATTCAGGCTGCACCCCCAGCCCATGCAATGCTTCTGCCTACATTTGGAGTGGATCTGTCTTTCTCAGTTAAAGATTTCTGGAAACACCCAGAACATAGACACACCCAGAGACATGTTTCCCTAGCAACCCTACATCCTGGAACAAGAGGAGAGAGTACATATCCATAGCTGAGAGAGAAGACGGCAGGATTACAACATGTGCCACCTTTTACTGGCTGTTTGACCTTTGCAAAATTACTGAATTTACAGTGTCGCTGTTTTCTTGTAGCACGATGGGGACAATGTTATTGTCTGTTCCACAGGGCTGCTGTGAGATAGCGTGGCTCCCACTGAGCTCTCCACACATGTCAGTTGGCATAGCCTATCACTTGCTCTGCCCATCACCTACCTCTTTCACTGGCCCAGATTTTAGCTTGAGTTGCTCTCTAGTGCCTCACTTCTAGGCCTCTGCCCTGCCTGCTCATGTTGGGTTTAGGCCTCCTTCAATTCCTTTCCAGGTTCAATGGTTCCTGGAACCCAATGACACAGTCCGAGTTCTACTCAATAACCAGACTGTAGCCTTTAACACCAGCCAGACGGATGAAGGTAGGCTCTGGAGCTGTGTGTGGGGGTGTGATCAGCAGGATCTCAGCCACAGCAAAACAGAATGTTTGCCACCAGCCCCCCCCCCCACTGCTGTCCCCTAAACTGCTGCACTAGAAGACCTTCACTCAGCCTGGGCATTGAACTTTCCTTGTTTCATACCCCAGAAGAAGGTGTCTAGAGGCTGGGCTGGGTGGCGTGAGGCCGTTAGTTGAGGCATGGTCAGGGTCTCCCAGTGTTCTCTGTGCTATGAGCCTTCATTTCTGCTAAGTCATGGGCCCATGAGGCATGCTGGCTGTGTCACTTGTCCCCCACCTGTCTTCCAGGCTTGCCAATGTTCAATACCACTGGGATCCTCCTGACTCACAATGGCTCCCAGGTCTCAGCCAGTTTTGATGGGACAGTGGCCATCTCTGTGATTGCTCTTTCCAACATCCTCCATGCCTCCACCAGTCTCCCAGAGGAGTACCGCAACCACACGAGGGGGCTCCTGGGTAAGAAGTGGAGCTCAGACCGCACACCCGAAGCTGTCTGTCCTGTGGGCCTTGAACTTCACGGCACAGTTCTTGCTCAGCCTCCTATAGAGGGGTTGCTCCACCCACTGTTGAGGCTAATCTCCTGTTTGCCTGCCCTCTTTTCAAGGGGCCGTGAAGGGGGCTCTATGGGGAAGGCAGGGGCCTGGTGCCCTTTCCCTCCACACCTTTACTTCTTTTCCTACCCTTGTTGTCTTTCTTCCTCCCATCTTTCCACTTCTTGGTTTCCTTCTCTCTCTTGGAAGCACAGAGGTGGATGTGAGTAGATGGTCCTCTCCCGCCTCCTGGGGCCCTGGCCCCGGGGCAGGTGCGGCTGTCTTGTCAGCCGCTCCCTGAAGAAGGGATGCCACCTTCCTGTGGTGACGAACCTCTTTCCCACAGGAGTCTGGAATGACGATCCAGAAGATGACTTCAGGATGCCCAACGGCTCTACCATCCCCCGAAACAGCTCTGAGGAGACCATTTTTCACTATGGAATGACATGTGAGTCTGGGGTCCTCAGGCCACTGGGGCAAATCCGTGAGGGAGCTGCTGTATTGTCTCGCTTGTGCATGTGGGGACCTTATTCATCCTTGGTAGGGCCCAGAGATTTTGCCGCGGCCTCATGTTTGGCCCCTGCTTTTACCCCACCTGTATGTCTCTTCTGGGAAGTGGAGAGGGGAGTGGGCGACCTTCACTCACTGAAACAGGGATTTCCAGACTCAGAAGCCAGAAGCCTTCTCATCCTTACCAACTCCCACGACACCCCCTCACCCATCGAGTCTTATCCAACGAGGATTAGGGGCAGGCACAGCTGAAATAAGGCTGTCGTCTTATACCATCGTCACACCTCCTGTGTTACAGGGCAAATCAATGGGACAGGCCTCCTCGGGCTAAGGACAGACCCTCTGCCTTCCAACTTCACCCCCATCTTCTTGTCACAACTGTTGAGCACCTCAAATGAAAGCATGACCTTGGGCTGCAAGGGAGATGTACAATGCGTGTTTGATGCCCTGGCCACAGGAAACGCAACCACGGGACAAAACACCAACGCAATCCTTAAAACATTCCAGCATGTGAATGGCACCCTCAGTAAGTGACAGGAGGCCCAGAGAGGCCTCTCCAGGGGCAGGGAGCAGGCGAGGACCTCATTTCACAACACTGATGGACAGACGGATGGCAGCCTTCCCTTCACTGCCCAATGCAGTCTGTCTCCTCCACCACCCAGAAGCCCTTTCCTGATGCTCCTTCTCCTCCCCCTCCCTGGCTTCTTTGGGCTCACTGGTAACTTTGCATATGCCTTTCTCTGGCCTGCAAGCCTCTCTCCACAGACAGACAGGCACAATCTCTCATGCTTTGACTCTGCCTACTTAGCAAGGCCCTCTGGAATTGCCTGGTCTTGTATTTCATGCTTATTCACACTCCTTTTCCTGAGTTTTTTTCTTTAGTATTTATAACTACTTAGTGTGTTTTATAATTTATAATTCCCTTAGTCCTCTCTTTCCATCACTTGTTCATTGCTATAGAGATCAGTGCCACACACATTTGCTAAATCTATTAAGGGAATGAATTAATAAGCAATGGACTGGAAATAATAGGCTTCCAAGAAACAGAGCATTGGGAGAGTTTGAAAATGGAATGTCCATCTACAGATCACCCTCATGGCTTTCAACTCTTCCCAGGAGTAAAACTGTCTGTTCTCAACCCAACGTGGCATTCTGTTCAGGGAAGAAATGATCCAGTTTGAGGAGGAAGTTGGGAAAGGGAGTCTAACACGTTTGCAGAGCAGGAAGTCTGGGCTCTGCCCGGGGGTGGCCCCAGGCCTGGGGAGGGCTTGTAGGAAGTCATGAGGAGAGAGCTGAGATGGACGTAAGACTGGAGAGTGTCCTGTGCCTAGCCAGTCTCTGCCATGCTTGTTTCAGACCAGTACCCGCCCTCTGTCAACTGCCCCAATGAAATTCGAGCCTACAAGGGGAAGACAGAGATCATTGAGATCACCAGCAACTCTAAGGATGTCACATTCAACCTCACCAACCAGTGCAGTGGCTTTAAACTCCTCGGTAAGAATCCTTGGCTGGCAACAGCATGGGGCAGGGGCCCGAGAGGCCTGAGTCAACCTGGGTTTTCTTGAATTTTTTCATTATACCCAGAACCCTGCCATATTTTTTTTTTTCATTTGAATACCCAGGACCAACAAGAATTTCCTTCTTTCCCTCTTCTCTTCATCTTGTTTCTCTCTCTCCCTCTCCCACCCCTATTCCCTCTCCTTCTGAGACAAGCTCTTAACCACAAAAACCCAAGATGGCCTGAAACTTCCTATGTAACCCAGACAACAAACTCCTGGTTCTTCTGCCTTGTCCTCTGCACTGTGTGATAGCCGGTTTTCAATGTCAACTGGAATTAACCAGAAAAGGGAGTCTCACTGAGGGAATTATCTAGATCAGGCTGGCCTGGGGGCATGTCTTCCTTGTCAATTATGGTGAGCCGACCTACCCCAAACATGGGAGGCACCATTCCATGGGCTGAGCCTTGAACTGTGTAAGAATGAAGAAAACTAGCTGAGCAGAAGCCGCCAAGCAAACAGCGGGCAGCGTGGGCCCATTCACTTTTCTCTGCTCTTGACTGGGTGTGACAATTAGCTGATTCCCCCTCCATGATGGACTTTAACCTGGCGTTGTAAGCTAAAGCAGCTTCTTCCCCTACATTGCTTTGTTCCAGGTGTTTTAGGGCAGTCTTGGAAATTAAGCTACAACAAGGATGTTGTATCACCACATCTGGCTTGAAAAACAGCATTTCTTTTTTAAACTTTTTTAAATTAACTTTAATTATGTTCCTGTGTGCATAGGGGTGTGTGCACAAGCATTCAGGTTCTGGAACCTTCCAGAGGTGCTGGATCCTCCTGGAGCTAGAGTTAGAGGCAGTGGAGCTGCCTGAAGTGGATGCTGAGAATCCAACCTGGGTCCTCTGAAAGGGCAGTGTGCTCTTAGCCACGGAGCCATCTGTCTCTCCAGGCCCTGAGTAACAGCATTTCTTAAGATTGGTACTTATAGCTGGCCATAGCAGCTCGAGCCTGTAATTCTAGAGGGAGGGGGATTACCATGAGATCAAGGCCAGCAAGGCCAGCCTGGTATACAGAATGATACTTGGTCTTAAAATTGAAAAGAAAGAAAGAAAGATACCTGTAGTTCAAATGGGTGGCCTCCTCCCCAAGTAAGTGGGGGGGGGGTGTTAGATAGATATAACTAAAACGTTATTTTACTGTCATCTAATAATATGCTTGCTCTTTTTGTTTGTTTGTTTGTTTGAGACAGGGTCTCACTATCTAGCTCTGGCTGTCCACTCACTGTGTGGAATAGGCCAGCCTCAAACTCACTCACAGAGAGAGATCTGCCTGCCTCTGCCTCTCAGGATTAAAGGCTGAACCACCATGCCTAGCTATATGCATCATTTTTAACCATCATGGAGCATTTATCAAATCATTAGAATAATTGAGCATGACCATTATAAATACTAGTTTAGCTGGACAGTGATGGTGCACACCTTTAATCCCAGAGCTTGGGAGTCAGAGGTAGGTGAATCTCCAAGTTCAAGGCCAGCCTGGTTTACAGAATGAGTTCCAGGACAGCCAGGGCTACACAGAGAAATCCTGTCTCCTTGAAAAAAATACAAATGATAATGATGATGATGATGATGATAATAATAATAATAATAGTTTGCAGGGCTAGTGAGATGGCTCAGCATGTGAAAGCCCTTGCCACCAAACCTGATAGCCTAATTTCTATCCCTGGGACCCATAGGTGGAAGGAAAGAACCAACTCTTGCAAGCTGTCCTCTAACCTCCACATGAATGCTATGGCATGCATACATGCTCCCAAACATACACAAAATCAATAAATGTAATAAAATCCAAAGGTTTACAGCATTATCATATATACTAAAAGAATAATACATTGTGGAGTAAAACTGAAGAAATACAGATACCTTCATTGGTAGGCACTGGTAGGTGACTGGCCATGCTTATCCGGCTTTCTCTTTTCTCTTATTTCCTGAATTGGGACCAACACAGCATGTCTTTTCATGTTAGTAACGGTATCTAAGAACCTAGGCTGGCAGTTGTGACCTAGTGGACCAAAGCAGAAGGGATGGTGACTTTCTTCACTAAACCAAAGCCGCCAGGGACCTTTCTCTGGCTCTGACCACCAGTCTGTCTCATTTTGCCTCTCTGAGTATGGAGGGGCTTCTTTGTCTACATCTCCTTTGTTCCATATGGCACTATGTTCCATATGGCCACACAATGGCATTACAGATCTTTCTTTCATCTTGGACTTCTATCCTGGAAAGTGATAGTGTGACGTTAACTCCATCCATCCCTACTCTCTGTTCCTTCCAAGCTGCTGTTTATTCCCTATAGTCTGACATCTGATAAGGTAACCATTAAGGCCTGGGAAGTCAGAGGAGAGGATAGTGCAAAGGCAGAAAAGAGGTGCTGGGAGATGAAGCCATTCCATCCTGCAATTTGGGAAGTGTTAAGCAGACCCTGGCACTTACGTTTGTTCCCCAGCATGACCCATCCTGGTACAGGCTCAGGCAGAGATGTGCTTGGAGGCCTTTTCATGGGGGTGGCAGGGGAGTGGCCTTCTCCTATGTGGATTTCTACCAACACCCAGCACCCCAGCACTTTCAGCAGGTGCTGGCTGCCTCCAGCTTGGAGCATGACTGCCATCACCATGCGTGCAAGAATCGCATCTTTGCTCCAAAGGATGCCTGTCAGCATTAAGGACTCAGGGAAAGGACTGACGGTGTGGGAGAAGCAGGGTGTTAGATGTCAGCATGCATTGGCCACAGAGCAGAGGGCTTTCCCAGCCATCGAGGTCTCTTTCTCTGGACAGAAAATGGAAGTTTGCAGTGGACACCAACACTTCCAGAAGTGTGTATCCTGGAGATTCTAGCAACAGATGCGAGGACTAACTTGTCATCCATACTCCAGCCCAGGACTGTGGCTTGCTTCTGCAGTGTGGAGAGCCAGTGTTTCTACAGTGAGACCAGCAGGGAAGGCAATGCTTCCCTTGAGGTGAGCAGTGAGAGTGGGGTGGGTGGGGTCCTCTGTTGGGAGGAGGAAGAGCACATGGAGGAATGCTGTGAGCATCCTCTCCCCTGGGCAAGGTGTGTGTGGGGAGGAGGGAGGAGCTGGGATGGCTGAGTAGTGCAGGGGTCCATCTTGTGTGAAGTGCAACTTGCATCACTTAGAGCACAAAAGAGTGTGTGCCCCACCTCCCATTCTGTCGGGCTTAGCAGTGTTCACCTCAGCCTTTCACATAGTTCCCGCCATGGCACTGAGCGGTGGGATGGAAAGGCTTCCCTGAGTGTTCTGTGTCCATAGCCTCCAGCGCAGCTGGCCTGCCTTCCTCCAGATCAGGGAGACTGGAGGCCTCTGCTCAGACACGGGAAGCCCTCACAGGGCATGATGGAGAGTGGCTCACCACGAAGTGTCTCTTTGGGCTTGGGAAGAGAGGGGCAGGGTGCTGACTCAGTTTGCTCTTCCCTCTAGCTGAGGAAGCATCTCTTTTTCAGTTTAGAGAAAATTCTCTCCTGTCACAATGTGGTCAACTTCATGACCCAAGTCCACAGATTTTTGCCCCATTTCTGTTTTGTCCTTTTTGTTTGTTTTTCTCTCCTCTCCGTTTCTTCCCCTGTCTTACTCGCTCAGGGATTCCAGGAAAGGAGGTAGAGTGTGAGAGAGGAGAGCCTACTGCGGGGCCAGGCAGGGGATGGTGTAACATTGGGCAGACTCACAATCCTGTGCTGTGGAAGAAGGTGCCTGCTGGAGGGGCTGAGGCAAGCAGAGCTGCCCATAGCAGAAGTGTCAGGGCAGAGACACTAGAAGTTCTTTAGCTTGCGGACACCCTGCTGTTATTTAGGTGACGAGCTGCAAGTGTGATGGGGACACGTTTGGCCGCTTCTGTGAACGCTCCAAGAACCACTGTGAAGAGCCATGCTTCCCAAATGTGTCCTGCATTCCTGGGAAGGGCTGTGAGGCCTGCCCTCCAAACATGACTGGAGATGGGCGTCACTGTGCAGGTAAGCTGGGAACAGGGCCCTGGCAAGGGGAGGTTGCAGGTTCTGGGTCCAGGGGACATGTCAAGGGTCTGGATAGACAAAGACACACTGGTGTATCTGTCTTTAGCAACACATCTTCAAATCCCTCGCGATAAGAAGCTTAGAAAGAAATGGTTAGATGGTGTGGGATTGAAGGAGGTGGTACAGACACTGAGGGTGGGCTAGAACAGAGCAGCCCTGAGAGCCTGCTGGAGAAAGCCTGGGCAAGGACTGATGGAGCAGGCTAGGAAACCAGAGGTAAGCTGGGCTCTCGGGAACCTGGGCATCTTCAGAGGCAAGGCCCAGGGGCTCTGCTTTTCCCAAGCCAGGACCTTGGAGGTGTCACGATGGGAACCTAGTGACAGAGGAACCTACGTTTTCCTTTAAGTTTCTTCCTGCCCCTCTGATCCTCTTCCTCTGAGCCACATGTCACCATGTCAGTGATGACAGTGCAGCCTTCTCCAGTCCTCAAAGGCAGGCGAATACAATCAGGAGACCACTGTTTTCTGAGCAGAGGCCAGGGCGGGTGGAGAAGTAGACCCTTTTCTCACCAGCATTCAGGGTCCCTCTCTGATAAGGGCAATCTGGTCCACCTGCCACGCCCTCTGCAGAGGTGAAAGAAGGCTTACCTGGCAGAGAGGAAAAGGTTGCGTTTCAGAGACATGCCTGGAGAAGGATGAGGGAAGATGGTTTGGGGTTCAGAGTGGCTCATAAGCACAACACAGATTGGGTATGGGTCAAAACAAAACAAGACAAAACAAAACAAAACAAAAAATCCTGAGGCTAGTTTCCAATCGGGTACTCATCTGCATAGTCGGTATGGCTGACTGCCCTGCTCCCTTTACAGCTCTAGAGGACTCTTTAGTCTGCCAGAACCATTCCTGCCCTGTGAATTACTGCTATAACCATGGCCACTGCTACATATCTGGGGCTCCAGACTGCCAGCCCACTTGCACCTGCCCGCCAGCCTTCACTGATAGCCGCTGCTTCCTCGCTGGGAACAATTTTACTCCCACTGTCTATAAAGGTATGACTAAATCCTCCTGCCGTACCAGCCCCACTTGTCTCTCCTGTCTCTCTGGGAATTGTGGGAAAACCAGTTCCCCAAATGCCCAGATCAGAACCGAGGTTTCCCCTGTGTGGTAAGTTTGGGGCAGGGGGAGCTAATGAGGGCAGCTATCCCACCGGCCTCAGTCATTTCCAGAGGGCAGAAAGAAGCAGAATCCTCCTGGCTTTGTTGGCCGAGAGCCACAGAAGGCCTGGTCAGCATAGCAGCACCGGAGTACAGGCCTCCGGTGACCTGGCCGTGGCGGATGGAGCTGTCTCTGAGTGGGCACAGGGAGTGTTGGATAACTCTGGGAAGTTCGTGGGGTGATGATGGGTCTTGCTTGTTCATCTCCAGAGCTGCCCTTCAGGACCATCGAGCTCTCACTCAGAGAAAACGAAAATGCCTCCCGAGCTGACGTCAATGCCTCGGTCAGTGTGCTTGGTGGGTTCCCAGTGGGAGTCGATCAGGGAAGGTTCCCACACGGGCTGTGCTATAGCTTGTACATCCTTCAACTACCTTAATTTCCCAAAGGAGGGGGGTCCTTTGCTCAGGGAAGGCTCAAGGCCTAGGACATCAGGAAGCCTCAGGATTAGAGACCATAGACTCTCTTAGAATTACCAGCTTGCTAAGACTCTAGGGTGGCATGTCACCCCAGCCTGTCTCCCTGCGTACTCCCATGATTAATGCTATCTGACTGCTATATGGAAGAAGTCACCTCCACCCTGACTTCCCATAGAGAACTGGGATCCTCTTGTCAACATCTCCATTAAACAAAGTAGGTGGATTGGTGAATGGTGGAAACTCTAGACTCCTATACACAGGATATCAAATCTCTGCCCTGCCTCTTCCTAGAGCAGGTGTAATAATTAGAAAAGCTATTTATAGCAGCTTTGTGTATAAATGTGGATAATAGTAAGTAGTACCTGTCATTAGGCTGTGTCGATATTTAAATGACAAAGCATGCAAAACATTAAGTACCAAAACATGAAAGGCATTCAAAGTGATTACTAGTATAGGTACCCTGACTGCCAGACACATTCAACCTCAACTGGTCAGAACTGTTGACATTCATCTGCTGCCCTTAACTGCAGACTCTTTCAAATAAACGGGTCCCGAGTCACCTTGGCATTCTTGGCACCTGGCCGTGCCTAGGTCTTGGCTAAACAATTTTTGTTTGGTACATATGAGAGGAAAGGATGGGCTGGAATCTGGGACCAAGCAGGGGTGTTTGTTTCGGATGTTACCCTGGCAATGTTGATGTGGGGGGAGGGCGGGGGGCTCATCCCTCTCCCACTGAGTATTTATTAAGCAAGGACCCAGGCCAGCCTCTGGCTGAGATGTGAGTGTGGAGATGACGTGTGGGCCAGGCTGCAGATGCTCTAGGGGTCCTGGGCCCTGCACTCAGAGGTGGGCATGGCCTCTCTGACCCTCATTCAGCCTGTCCTCTCATTTTCCCTGTTGTAGGTGGCATACAGGCTAGAGACCCTGGACATGCGGGCTTTTCTCTGGAACAGCCTAGTGGAACTGACAGGGATGTAAGTGAGGTGGTCCCTCCATGACTTCCCTCTCCCTCCCCCTGCTCCCCAAGCCCTCACTGTTCCCTCCCATACAGCTCTCTCTCAGCACAGTCCTCCAACAAGCCAATTCAACACTGGCGGGTCGTCTCCAACTTCCAGTACCGTCCCAGGGGCCCGGTCATCCATTTTTTGAACAACCATCTGATAGATGCTGTGGTGGAGGCCTTCCTCCTCCAGACTCAGACGGGGAGGCAGAAGAAGAGCAGTGAGGAAGCCAGGAAGGATGTCACCTTCTTCCCCATCTCCAGGGCCGATATCCAAGATGTGACGGCTTGTGAGTCACTCTACCTTGGGGACAATACAGAGACAGCGGGGAAGGGGAGAGAAGTACATAGAGGGGCCATCCCAGCCCCGAAGGTCACGCCCATCCCCAGTAGGAAGTCCATTGAAGAGGTAACAGGTTAACTGAGCTCTGCGGTTGGAAATCTTTGCATGAAATTTAAAACATTTCTCCCATCAGCTCTTTCAGATTCAGAGCAGGGACACAAGATGCTGCTGGTAGACCCATGTGGGAGTGCCGTAGCAATTATTCCAGGCTGCATGATGGGTTCCATGTGTCTACTCATCTGTTTGTTTGGTTTTGGAACAAGATCTAACTATGTTCAGGCTGGCCTCGAACTCACGATCCTCTTGCCCTAGCTTCACAAATGCTGGGATTTCCAGGCTAGTGCCACTGTACCCAGCTGTCTTCCCCTTCCTTTAGTAAGATCGCTCACTTCTTGAACTGTCATTGTACTGAACACACATTGAACACCTACTACCCTACACCTGGTCCTCTGCTGGAGAATCATAAATGGAAGCCGAAGACTGGCCAGAGTAGAGGACCGAAAGGGTGTGGCCCCACTCAAGCCAGAACTCTGTGGTCCCACTGGGAAAATGAGATGGGGTTTCTGACAGCCCAGGCAGAAAGCAATGGAGACCAAGGGATGCCCTACCTCCAGTTTCTGGAATGGAGCAGAGGATAGGATAGGGACCCCACCTAGCAGGGGAGGAAGTGCTATTCTACTTGGGACCAGCACCCACTGAGATCTGCTTCTAGAATCCAGTTTATGCTTCCTGCTTCTTGGGGCAATAAAATGAAATTTCTGCACATTGGGAAGCAGTGGTGGGGGATGGGCAACAGTCTGGGAGCTCTGACTCAGAGCAAGGAGCTGGGGCATTTGTGTCTGAGCACTCGGAAAGCAAGAGGGTCAATGAAAGCTTTGGCTGTGAAGCAAGTCTAAGCCAACCTGGGCTACATGAGGTCCTGTCTTAAAAAGTGAAAGGAAGGAAGGAGAAAGGAGCAAGGGAAGAAGAAAATACAATTGTATTGTACAAACACAATATGGTTCCTAAACACCAGAGTTACAAAAGTAAGAAAGAAAAGACAATGCTACTTTGTATTCTTACTTTCTTCTGATATGCCTTAGGGAATTTCACATTTTTTTTTCCACTAAGGGAAATCATAGCTTAGTCTGGCATCCTCCACATTAAATAATAATGACCACATTAGCTCAAACACTGTGTGCCTTTTCCCATTGGACATGCTATTCTAACAGTGATCTTTTCGAAACCGGTGCTTGTAACACATTTCAAGTGTTGTGGGGATAGCTATTTTTTCATATACTCTACATGTATGTCTCACTGGACATCACAGCTAGGTTAGTGCTGTTTTTATGCTTTGTTTTTAAACATAAAGAAACTGACCAGGAATGGTGGTGCACGCCTTTAATCCCAGCACTCGGGAGGCAGAGGCAGACAGATCTCTGTGAGTTCAAGGCCAGCCTGGTCTACAGAGTGAGTTCCAGTATAGCCAGGGCTATACAGAGAAACACACTCATGCATGAACGTACACACACGCGCGCACGCGCACACACACACACACACACACACACGCACACAGGGGGGGGGGAAACTGAGGCTGACTTAGGAAAAGTCCCAATCTCGTAGCTAGTTAGTTGGAGAGCCTGAGTATCAACTCAGTTGTGGCTATCTTCTGAGTGTGTGCTCATCACTGCTGGCCTTTTCAGACCCTGAAAACTGTCACCCCCCTTGGTAGGGCTGCATAGTAATTTATTTGCTGAGTGCCATTATACACTGTTGACAGGATCAACCCGGCAGAACGTAATACCCACAGATACAGGTATCTGTGCATTCAACCAATTGTTTCTCAGGATAAACACCTGGCATTGACTTCTTGATGGAGAAGGTATGAATTATCTCAATTGTTTGCTTGCTCTATTTGCATCCTTGTCCTGCCTACAGTGAACCTAAGTATGCTGAACAATTACTTCCTGTGTGAGGGCTACAAGAACTATAGCCTGGTCTACAGCCCCCAGAACGGTGTCACCTGCGTGTCCCCATGTAGTGAGGGCTACTGTCACAATGGGGGCCAATGCCAGCACCTACCAGATGGGCCCCAATGCAGGTGAGTAGGGGCCTGGGGCAGGAGAGCATAGTGCTGGGAACACAAGCAGGACGGGACACCACAGTAGACCCAGGAAGGCACGGACCCTCCCGAGACATGACATTGGGATGACTCCCTAGTGGTCAGGGGACAAGAAGCAGAGGAAAGGGAGTTGAGCAGAGGGTGTGTGCTGATCCTCTGCGTGGAGAAAAAAGATGTACCCTGAGACTCATGCTAGCCGCAAGAGGGCGCTCGCCCACCCGGGGGATGGGAAAACTCCAGAGTGGCACGGGTCCAGGAGGCAAAGTGGCTGAGTACTAAAGCTTCCTGAGAACGGATGAACGGATGCCCCCAGCCCTGTGGAAAGGAACCTGCCATCTTGGTCTGGCCCCGGTCCTGCCCCTCTGTAAGAGCACTCAGTCTGGAGCCGCCCTGAGGCTGGTTCCTTAGGTCTCCTCCCCTGAAGAGCGGACTGAAAGTCTGCAGTGACACAGGGGCTTGCCTCCCAGTGTCCTCTGTTCACTCTTGCCCCACCCTTAGTCCAGGGCTGGTCGAGAGTGGAGAATTTGGGGAGTGGGAGAATATGGGGATGGATTTGTGACTATATAGTGAGTGCATGTGCGGCCACCCTCTGGTGGTTTTGGCTGGTAACTTCATTTCAAAATGGCCTTGGGGCTGGCTGGGTCCTCCACCCAGGGGATAGCCCTGCCTGTCCTGGATAATGACCCCTGGTCCCCAGGAGAGGAAGGCTGAGCAGGTCAGGCCTGCATCCTCGCTGACCACACTTGTTCTCTCTGTCCCCAGCTGTGCATCCTTTACCATCTACACATCCTGGGGCGAACACTGCGAGCACCTAAGTGTGAAGCTTGGAGCGTTCTTTGGGATCCTCTTCGGGACCTTGGGTGCCCTCCTGCTGCTGGGGATCTCGGCATTTGCAATCTTTCACTTCTGTGGCTGCTCCTCAAACAAGTTCTCCTACCCTTTGGATTCAGTACTGTGAGGCCTTGCTTTGGATGGGCAGCTGCATCTAGGATACCTCAGGACCCACCCATCACTCTGCCTCTCTAGGAAGGCTGGGGAGCGGCTGCTGAATGAAAGGGATTTGCAATTCTTCAAGAGTGAATACAGGGAGTGAAATCAGACTATACCTTGTCAGTAGATCAGGGGTTCAGGAAAAGGTCATGATGACCAAATACATGGATGGATGGGTTCTCACAAAGACACATTTGAAAGGAGGACACTGCCATATATGAGTACACACACACACACACACACACACACACACACACACACACACACACACCAGAGTTAATGGATGACTGGCTCTACATTAACCAAGACATTTTTACATATAAAACTGGCTTCCTTCTCATTGAAATCTATTTAAATAAAGACTTTGTGCCTCCAAACCATGGGTTCCATCCATTTCTTCTGGTGGCTCTAGGGCAAGACACAGTACAGTACATTCTCTGCACCGTCATGAACATAGAGGTGGCAGCTGCATGCTAGGGATGAGGTAAAGGAGTCAGGTGGTGGGGTCCAGCCCCGTCACAGGTCCCGGTTGCCCCGTGTTGAATGCATCATGGGGTCCAGCCCCGTCACGGGTCCCGGTTGCCCCGTGTTGAATGCATCAGAGGACACAACGCTGGCTTGGTCCTTGCTTCCTCCTGCCTCACCGCACTCCCACACCTCAGCCAATGCTGGAGCCTTGGTCCTTGGTGCAGCCGAGTAGTAAACCTTCAATAGGAAAGGCCTAGTACAAGGCGATTAGGTCCTGAAAATCACCCTGGGGAGGGCTGGAGCCCAGGCCCAGTGGCCCTGGGAGTGAGCTTTTATAACACGAGGCTAGCCTGTGCCCTTGCCTCTTTTGCATTTAGTGGATGGGGTTGTTTTCTGTTTCTCTGCCATTTGACCTAGCCGAGGGACCCTGACCTAGAGGCCAAACAGATAAGGCCAATCAACTTGGACTTCAACTTCTAAAACTGTGAATAGTATAAGTACTGTGCTTGTTCAGGCCAGCTGTGGTCACGCATGCCTGTAATTGAATTTGGGAAGCAGAGGCAGGAGGGTCATTGCAAGATCTGGACCACCAGGACTTATAGCAAGATTATCTCCCAAAGGAGGGCTGTTTGCTAATGTATGCAAAGCATCTACATAGCTCAGACTGTGCACTCTACAAATATATAATATTCTTTAATAAAAATGAGAGTTATCAGATTTAGCAAATAAAAAGTAGAGGATGCCTGTTAAAATTATGTTTCCAACAAGCTACCAGCACAACTAATTTTGTAGTTAAGGATGGCTCAGGAAATATTTAGGACATCCTTTTACTTTTTAAAAATTATTCATCTGAAGTTGTAACATACTTGATACTCTGTGTCTTGTCTAGTAGCCCTGGTCACAATTGCTGAGACAATGAGAACACAGAATGGGGCGTTGACAGGGCAGGGAAGGTGTCCCGGGACACCATGCTGTGGCTACCAGAAAGCTACCTTTGTGAATGGCAGAACTAGATCAAGGACGCTATTGCAATTTTCCACGAGTTTTCAATGAGCTCTTTGGTTTGGATTCCGTCACTTTGGTACCAGGGATAAAAAGGTGACTGGTCCTTCTTCAGGCTTACCTGAGAAAAGGAACAGGCACTTTCCAGCTGGTTACAGGCAGCAAGGGCATCCTGAGGGGCCACTGAAGGACAAAGAGAACTCTCTGGGGCCCCACATGCCAATGTCCTTGCTCATTCTTCTCTGCTTTAAGGAGGCTTTCAGAAACCTCCCGTGGACCATGTGAGGAGCTAAATGGCCAGAATGACAGATAGTAGCTGGCTGGCATGCTACACCACTTTAAACTTTATTGCCACTAGAAAGTGATGTGGTATCCGCTCACTTGCAGTTGGAGCACACCCATGAATTGGCTACCAGGCAATGCTTCACACAAGGTAACCTTGTCAGAAAAATCCCTCATGTTGTTCTCTTATGCTTTAGAGTCACAGGTAATAAGGCAGGTGGTCTTATTTAGGTTCACAAATGCTTTCATCTTTATGAAATGTGTGGTGGTGGTGGTAGTGGTGTGTGTGTGTGTGTGTATGTGTGTGTGCGCACATGCACACACGAGCACTCACTTATGCCTATGAAGGACATTAGGTCACCTACTCCTCATTCTATGTTTTATTTCTCTGACACAGGGTTTTTCATCAAACCTGGAGATTGACATTTGGTTAGATCCTCCTGTCTCTGTCCTATCCCTGCTAGTGCTGGGGTATTGGCTTGCATATGGCCATGCCTGGCTTCTCATACAAGTGTTGGGAGTCTGAACATGGGCCATCATACTTCTGAAGCAAGCTCTCTTAACCACCAAGCCTTCTCCTCATCCATGATACTGCTTTTCTACACATCCCTTCAGAATCCCAATGGCTAGAGAATTTTCTCTATGTCCTGCTCCTTGATGACTTGGTGACATTATTTCTGCTAACTTTGACCCTCTCCTCCCTCCTCCACACAATTATAATTATACTCTAGAATTTCCAAATACTTTCAATTGGTCTATCCTATATTTTATAATTTTTCTGATATACAGTAGTAATCATCATCAACATTGTGCGTATGCAACTAATATGAAATTGTCCTCTGGAGTAGGTGTCACCAATTTAAGAAAGTACAAAGTGAGAGAAGAAAAATTACTCAGTGGCAAGGGCTCCTTAGCAGTGATACTGTGGCCAAGTAAGCTAGCTGCTTTCCCTCCATGCCTTGTCGCAGCACAGCTTGTGATTACATCATCAGTTACACGGTTTATGGTTACATCATCAGTTGTACAGCTTGTGATTACATCATAGGTTGCACAGCTTGTGATTATGTCATGGTGTCTCAGCTTGTGATTACACCAGCAGTTGCATAGCTTTACCACACTGCTGAGAGCTCATTTCTTAGCTTTCAGAGCCAACTGCCGTTACTTCAGGGACATCTGCTCATGTAGCCTACCTTAGTCACTGTTCTATTGCTGTGATGAAACACCATGACCAAGGCAACTTATAAAAGAAAGCACTTAATTGGGGACTTGCTTATAGTTTCAGAGAATGAGTCCATGACCATCATGGCAGGGAGCATGGCAGCAGACAAGCAGGCATGATGCTCGTGCAGCAGGTGAAAGCTCACATCTTATCCAGAAGTGAGAGACTGGACTGGCATGGGCTTGCCTGCCCCCAGTGTCATGCCTTCTCCAACAAGGCCACGCCTCCGAATCCTTCCTAAACAGTCCACCAACTGGGAAGCAAACATTCAAACATATGAGCCTATTGAGGGCATTCCCATTAGAATCACCACATCATCTATTCATTAACTCATCATCTATTCTAGTCACTCAGAAACACTCATGGACCCCTCTGTGTAGGGCTCTGTGCTCAGTTCTGTAACTACAGATACACTCAAATAGTATTTATCCTGAACAAAGATAACTTAAGAAACCCCAAAAAATGCCTAAATTATAACACACTCCGTCAAGTGTTAAAACAAAAATGTAAGCAAACAGATGAAGAAATCAGCCCCTCTCTAGGGAATCAGACAGAGACCTGAAAAGGTCCCATCTGAACTGGGCTCCTGGGAATGAGTAGTTTTCCAGGTGAAGCGACCCATGAAATGAGATTATTCCTGCAGGAAGGAATCATATCAGGTGTTGCTTGGGAGGATGAGACACACCAGTAGAAGGGGCGCAGGGTAGAGGAGCAGGAGCTGCAGGACCAGGGTGAGGGAGCAGCAGAGGCCACATCATGAGACCTATATACCAAGCAGTCTGTCTGTCTTCTGGGCGGCAACGGAAGTGACTCTGATGTTGGAAAGGAAAATGTTAGAGATGATGTGAAAAGTAATGGAGGAAAAATAATTTCATTTCCATAAAATAAAAGCAAAAATATTTTATGCACTTCTTTCCATGCTAATAACTACAAATCAAGTCCTCTGGAAGAGTAGTGCGTGTTCTGAGCCATCTCTCCATCCCTGAGTTATTTTACTTTCAGTTGCATGTGGTGTGTGTGTGTGTGTGTGTGTGTGTGTGTGTGTGATGAGGCATGTGCACAAGAGTGCAATGTTCATTGAGGCCAGAAGAGGGCATCAGGTCTGAGAGCTAGAGTTACAGGCGGTAGTGAGCTACCTGACATGGGTGCTGGGAACCAAACTCTAATCCTTTGCAAGAGCAGCAAGCACTCTTAACTGATGAGTCATCATTCTAGCCAGGAATTTCTGTAGATTGAATAAAATGAGATTGTATTTAATATCTACTATGTCTAACTAAACTGCCTTATTGGAATAGCTTGGGCTTTTTTGAGTTTTGATTTGGGGGGGGTGGTTATAACTAGTTCTATATAGAGTCTTCATTATTTTCTTGAAATAAACTAGGAATGAAATATCTGGGTTAAAGGGATATACATTTTCAAGTCTTTAAGTTGTCAAATAGTCATGTTTGCCTTCAAAATCCTGTATGAGTTTCATCCATGATAAAAATATTTATTATTGTCTGCTCTCTTATTAGTATTAAAAATTATATAAATCCTTACCTATCTACCAGAAACACAATAAATAATATCTAACTGTATTTATTTTCCCATCTTTGGTAGCTGAGTCAAATTTTCTTCTTCATGGGAAGGCATTCACAGTCTTCTGCGAATTACCACTCTTCACTGTTTATAGCACGATAAATAAAAGGCAAGAGACTGATAATGGGGTTCAATCTTCAAGCTGAAGTTCAGAGAAGCAAAGCAGCCAAGCCAGTAGATCTTATCTCTACTCAGGAGGCAATCCTGCCTCCACAAATCCTCAGAGGCAAAAGCACTGAATTCCTGTCTCCTCCTCCTTACATTCCTTTTTCCACTCAGCCAGATCCTCCTGTCTCCACCTCCCTAGTGCTGGGATTAAAGACCTGTGATCCCAAGTGCTGGGATCAAAGGCATGAGCTCTGTTACTCTTCCCTCTTGTGTAGTCCAGGGTGGCCTCAAACTCAGAGAGATCCATCTGCCTGTCTCCTGAGTCCTGGGTTTAAAAGTGTGTGCCACCACTATCTAGTTTCTATAGCTAACTAGTATGGCTGGCTTTGCAAACTGATCTCCAGTGTCTTTATTAGATCATAAACAATATATCACCACAACCGTTTGTCTATCTTTCTGCTGGGTTGTCTCTCTGTTGTCCTATAGGAGGAGCTCTCTGTATGCAAGGACACTGTTCTGGTTAAATGGGAAAAAATAGATTTTCCCCCCCAAGTCTGTTATCTTTATTGATGCTAAATATCCCCTACTAACTTTACTCTTTGTGATAGGACACATTTTTATAAGACACATTTTGTTATTTATTTTGTGTTCTGGAAGGGAAGATAGCATATGTTGTTGAGGTCAGAGGACACTGTAAGGGAGCCCATTCTATGCTTCTATAATGTGTGTCCTGGGAATCAAACCCAGGTCCTTTGGCTTGGCAGCTGGTACCTTTACCCAGTAAGCATATTCCGAGCTCAAGAGACATCTCAGAGTGCTCCTCAGCACACAACATGGTCTGTCTTTTATTTAGGGACTCACCAAACACACCAGGGTGAGGGTTAAGAGTTATTTGCTTCCTGCCCCACTCGGAGAACAGAGAATATCAGTTGAGTATACACACCCACCCCCTTTATCCAGAGCAGCTGTTTGCTGTTTTCATTGCCTATTTAACATAATTATGGAGTAACTTATGTCATCACTTCAATGCTGGAGATTAAACCCATGCTTTGCTCACACTGAGGACTCAGTTGAGAGCTCTGAAACTGCACTGTATCCCCAGCACACAAAGTACTGACTATGTGCAAGGTGCTAGGGACGCTACAATGAACAAAAGACTTCATTATAGTTGGAGGATTCTGGTATTAAAGACCAATAGAAAAAATACATTCTAGATCAGGAATATCAAAGCAGAGTGGCGGTCGGTATCGGGTAAGAATGGTATTGTGGGTAGGGCACATTGCCGAGAGGATGATACAGGTGGAGAGGGAGGAGGTACTGAGTGGATATCTGCAGGAAAGGCCTTCTAAAAGCAGACTCAACATTACACACAAAGGCCCCAAGACCAGAGCAGGTCTGGTGCATCTAAAGCTTAAGGCTTAGCAAAGCAGTTGGTGGCTTGCAGCGGGGGTGGGGGGTTGGGGGGGTGATGCAGCGCCTGTCTTTCACAGTTCTACAGACTGTTGCCCAGACTTGGCTTTTCCTTTGATGAATGGAAGTATGTGAAGCACAGGCCTGCCGTGTGTTAGGAGAAGGTATCTCCAGGTAATGTCTGGGAACAGGACTGGGTTTTGGGATGGGCACAGGTACAAACAGGGAGGCTGGAGTAATACACAGATGAGAGACGGTGGCATCTCAGACCACCTGGGCAAAGGCAGCAGAGATGCTGAGTGTCAGGTGCTGGGTGTCGTTCGAGGACGAGAAGGCGGTTGCATTTCCTGGTGTAAGATGAGAGAGAAAGGAGAACTAGTGGTTCTGAGAATCTGGGCTGGAGCAGCTGGAGGGTGCCAGTGGAATGAACTGAGCTGAAGACAATGCAGCAAATTGGATTAAGAATTTCAAATCCAGGAGCGCTGAGTGTGTGGTGTCTCCTCGACCACGTGGGCGGGCTGACTGAGCAACTGGACATGCGTAAGCACTGGCGGTATGTAAGAGCTGCTATTTCAGGGTTTTTTTTTTTTTCTTTTCCTCCCCTCCTATTCTTCCTTACTCTTTCTGTTTCCGTTTATTGGTTTTCCAAAAGTTTAAAATCATAAGCAAGTTATGCTTTTATGAGAGAAAAAAAAACACATTTAATTTTTAAATAATGCCAGGTGAGCAGGAACTATGGCAGGAATAGCTGCATTTTATAGACTTCTTTTAAATGTGCTCAAGTCCACCACTTGACATTTAAATCAATTTGATGTTCTCTGAGCTCCTCCCTCACTCACACCAGGTTTACCAAGGCTCAAAGGGTCTGAGATAAACAAATATGATCTCTGCCCCTGAAGGAGTTCTACATGGTTGGGATGTGGCCAGGGTGTTAAAGGCTTAGTCATGGGGTAGTTCCTCAGTAGGCAGAGTTTTTAGGGGATGGAGCCTAAGGGGGAATTCTGAAGTCACTGAGGATGTGCCCTTGGAGGGAATTAGGTGCCCCAGCTCCTTCCACTACCTTTGTTTTTTGCTTTCTGAGCACAAAAGTAGTAGTTGGCTCTGCCAGACACGTCCACCTGATACATAGAGCAAATGGATTGCTGCCCTGTTTTGACCTGATCTGGGGCCCAAAGGAATAGGTTTCCCCTATTTTGACCCAGAACCTTCTTAACTGTGAGCAGAAATAAGCTTTTCCTCATTGCAAGTTGATGATCTCCTATTTTGCTCTAGTGACAATAAGTTGATTAACACAGAGCTCAGGGTTCAACAGGCTCCAGGGCAAGTCTTGGTAAATGCCAAACCAAACCAGGCCACAGGAAAGCAGTCCCCAAATTCTCACACAATAAAAAACATCTAAGGCACATGGGCTCACTGTAGGTAATCTCTGGGCCACACTGGGTGTCAATTTAATACAAAATGGAAGAACACAGATGAGTGGTCAGTTTTCCCTTTATTGAAATACAATAGCCAGTCAGAGGAAGCGAAGGACACCCCTGGAAACAGGCTAGCTCTCCCCCCTTGCACACACACACAGGCATAGTGGACCCAGGTCTTGTGGTCAGGAATGGGGCAAGGTTCTCACGTCAGCTGATCTTCCTAGGAACCCTCTGGGTCCATGGCACAGTACCACAGCTTTGGTTGGTTTGGGGTCCGGGCCACAGGCAGCATTTACTTTTCTTGCAGTATAGAGGACATGCCTGGCTGCAGTTAACATTCTTCAGCCCCTTCTGATGCTCAGTAAGGACACTTGAACAAGTGGCATGTGGGTGTGCAGTTCACAGCTGAGCTAGAAAGCAAAAGAACAGTTCAGGTGCTCAGCCTATCTGCCCGGAAGCCCACCACAGGCCAGGGACAAGAAGGGGCAGCAGAGGGACAGCAACAATGTTTCCTGGGCCTCTCCGGTGAGAACAAGGGCCATTTAAAACACACAGCAGCTGTTTTCGTTCCATACGGGTAAAGTGTAGTGGGCTGACTTATCCAAGCTCACACAGCTAAATAGAACCCACTCTCAGATCTGCCTGCTCCCTGTGCCTCACTCCCTTGGCCCGATCTCAACAAAAATCACTACACTTAACAAATCCCATAAAATAATAATAATAACAAACAATAATAGTCTGTGGCAACCACATGTGCTCTTGCTCCTGCCTCTCAGGTTGCTTTCTGACCCCTGAAATAGTTGCCAAGTCAGGTGTCAAGTCTATGTTCCACGGTGGCCTTCCCCTCCTATAGGATCCCTGTTTCCTATAGAGGAGACACCTGTCATCTATTTGTCTGTCCTCTGTCAACTCAGATGCCTCGTAGACAGAAATCCTCATGAGGGTCGTTTCAGGTGACCTCCTTGCTCCTAAGAGAATTGGAAGACCTAGATATGTGTTCCCTCCTAATTCCCCAGGGTAGTGAGCGGTCAGTTGGATGCTTGTGCTCAGAACTTTGACCCTGCAACAAGCAACCCAAAACAAAGTGCCAGGGGGAACCCATGTGACAGCTCTTGGAGTGTGGTGATGGCTGACAGTGCCCAGCAAGAGGACAGTGTCCCAGGGGGCGTGTTCCCAGCAAGAGGACAGTGTCCCAGGGGGCGTGTCCCCAGCAAGAGGACAGTGTCCCAGGGGGCGTGTCCCCACACTTTTTCAAAGCTGCTCTTCTGTCATTCCTTTGTGTCTGTCCATCTGGAGTCCCCTCCCTTATTTGCAACTGAGAACTGCTTTTTTGTTCCCCATCCATGTCCCTTAATTTCTTGGAAGCCTGGACATCTAGAACCTGCCATAAATTGGATCTGTGGCTGGAGACACAGCTCAGTGGTTAAAAGCACTTGTTACTCTTGCAGAGGACTTGTGTTTGGTTCCCAGCATCCACATGTTGGCTCGCAACCATCTGATACCCCAGACCTGGGGGATTTGGTACCCTCTACTGGCCTCCACAGGCACCTAGCATGGACATAGCACATAGACACACATACATACACATAAAATAAGATAAAAACAAAAATTAGATGTGGGAGTGGGGATTTGATTACGCAATGAAAAGGGAATAGAAACAAATCAAAGCAGCAGACAGGACCAGATGGTGGCAGATGTCAGGCCTCTTTTGCCTTCACTGAGGGATCCTACTGGTAGGTATACCACCCACTTCCATCTGCTAATGGACTATCTCACTTGTCTATCCTGGCTGTAGGACTTTACCTCTGGCATAAGGCTGCCTGTCAGCCTCTCTTTCAGGTCTGTCCTTTCAAGAGATAACATTGAACCTGAACTACTGTGGTCCTCATTGACTATGAAAGGTGCTAGCTGTAAGACTGAGATATTTGGTGGAACAGGGTAGAAGGAGCAGTCTGTCTTAGGTGGTATCCCAGGTCGGCTCTCACTGTTCACAATACAGGTAGAGCTTGGACATTTCACAAAACCTGTACTGAGCTAGGTCTATGGCCTTTATACTGAGCTGACCCAGTCTAACCTTCACAGCACCCCAAAGGCCTTGGCCCAAGAACAAATGGCCTAGACTTATGGTATACAAATACTCCACCATCTTCCTCACTGTCTAGCACATACCTCCAAGGGGTTTCATATCTAGCATCCCTATTTCCTGTCCTTTCCCATCCGTGTGATTTTTATTGGATGTTAGTTTTGTCAGCTTGATGCACTCTAGAATCACCTGGAAGAGTCTCAATGAGGCATTATCTGGATCAGTTTGGCCTGTCTATGGGAAACTGTATTAATAAGCTATTTAATTTGGGAAGAGAGCTAGCCCACTATTGGTGGCACGATTTCCTTGGTTTGTTTGGGTAGGGAATGTAGAAGAGTGGTGAAGGGCTGGACAGTGGTGGCACTCACCTTTGATCCTAGCAGTCAGGAGGCAGAGGCAGAGTTTGAGGCCAGCCCGGTCTACAGAGTGAGTTTCAGGACAGCCAGGGCTGCTACACAGAGTAGTGAGGATAGGCTGAGTAGTTTTTCCCTCTGTGATACGCCCCCTCCATATGTACAGAGAAAGACCGTGAAGAATGACGTGCACAGCGTTGCAGAGGAAACACTCTGATTAGTTTGTAAGTGACAGTGGAAGAACCACCTGTAGATTTCCCAGTCTTCACTGATGGGAGATGTCATTCTGTAAATATGTTTCTTTTATTGGTTAATGAATAAAACACTGTTGCCAATAGGAAGGCAAGATAGGCGGGACTAGGAGACAAGGAGGATTGTGGGAGATGTAGGAGGAGAGTCAAGATGTAGAGACTTGAGAAGAAGAGGTCTGGGCCCTCTCTCAGGTAAGATAAGGCCACATGGAAATACTTAGATTAATAGAAATGGGTTAATATTTAAGACAGAGCTAGCCAATAAGAAACACTAATAACTGGCCAACAGTTTTATATATAATACAGCATTTCTGTGTGTTATTAGGGGCTGACGAGGCTCTGGGACCAGGCTAGCAGAAAAACTGCTTGTAACACTTCACCTTTTCCGTGTGAACTGCCAAGGGCTCTGCTTACTTTCCCATCAACACTGCTGACCTTTTCAAAGGACAGAAAGGGCCTTATAGGGCCTGAAGAAACTGGATATGGGGGTGGGAAGGTGCATTACCGAAAGGGAAGGGAAGGATCGAGAAGCTAGGCAAGATCAAAGCCAGACATGAGCCCCAGGTTCAGCTCCTAATGCTCTTTTATGTAATACTATTTTGTGTCATAGTCTCCCTTCTGGGTCCTACAGGTGCTTCCTGGGGTCCCTGAGAGCCCTCCCTTCTCACCTGACACACAGCTCACCTGGTGCATCAGCTTCTCTGTGGCTTTTGGCTCAGTGAGGTCCTGAGGGGAGGCCACACTTAGCCTGACTAGGAGAAAGCCTCCATCTTCTCCTGAAAGTTGAGGATAGATGAAAGATGACAAAAACAGTCATGTCATATCCAACCTGGGCCCCTCTCCTCATAGGTCCACACTCCCATTTGTCTTTTGTTCATTGTTTTGTCTTTATTTATATTTTTGAGACAGGGTTTCTCTGTTTAACAGCTCTGGAACTCTCTTTGTAGACCAGGCTGGCCTCGAACTCACAGAGATCCACCTGCCTCTGGAGTGCTGGGAAATAAATCCCAGAACTTCATTTATTTCAGATGACTTTTAAAATCACTAATCTTGGAGATCAGGAAGCAGAACAACATATCCTTAGTCCCTCACTAACTATAGAAAACACCTCCCACGTGGGCTTTGAGGACAACCAGTCGAGTAGGCTACCTCCCAGACTTGGAGGGCAGTTTTGCTAAAAGAACTGACTCTGCTTGGATCTGCAGGTGTCTGGTAAGCTTCTAAAACAAGAAGGAAACGCTTGACCTTTCTACCTCTACACTTTATTTGTCTCCTTTGCCACCTTAATCTTTGGGTCAGATTTCTGTTTAACTTTATAAACTATTCATATTAACCATTTGATAACTGTTTCATAGAAACGGTAATACAAAGTTGATTTCTCTTAAATCTACCTCATATAAGCATGACTAAGATAACAGGTCATTGACTTAGCTCCTAGAAGTCTCCGGAATCCTTTTTCATTACTCCTGCACCTTCCTCCCCTCCTTAAGAGACACTTTCGATTACTGAGAGCCCCAAGATGCTCTGGTTTTCCGGATGAATCTTTTCGCCTGCCACAACAACTTGTCCTTAAGTCCTTAGCCTTTTGGAGTGATAGAAACAAAGGTTGGTGGGCCTCCTGGCTTTTTTCTTGCACCTAGTGCTGTGTGTCTGTTTCCTCTGGGTTAGGAATGATAACAGATGTCTGAGATCATAGCAGCTGTGACCACCTATAGAAGACCATTACCAAATCAGATCTATAAACAGGTCTATATAAACATTCCCTCATGTGGGGGTCAGGGAGGCCCCGCCTCTCCCCAAGGTTACATAAGAGGTGGGACTCTTTGGTGGTATGACTGCCTCAGAGCCATCCAGGCTTCTGTAGATAACACCAATGAGTATCTTGTTTTATCAGGCTGGACTGGGTAGACTTATGAAAGCCATTGCTCTCTGGGGATATATAAATAAACATTACTTTATGGTTTTTTTGAGAAAAAAAATCTTGTGACAGCCAGTCCTGGGCCAGGGATTCCTGGGTTAATCCTAGAAGGGCCATTGCTGCTGTAGAGAAATTTCCCTAGACCCCCTGACTTGGCACTGACTGATTTTGTGCCTGATGGTCAGACCAAAGAAATTGATTATCTGTGAGGTTATAGATTTGGAATTCAAGTAGAGTAAATTTCCTTGGGATGTGTGCCCAGAACTCTCTTCTGAGTTTTTGAGGTGGTTCAATGGATAAAGGGGTCGCAGAACCAGCCTGGTGAACTGAGTATGGTTCCTGGAGCCCACATAAATGTAGAAGAGAAATGATTATACAAAGCTGTCCTCTGAACTCCTGATGTATACCATGACACATGAATCCTTGTTCCCACCACACACACACACACACACACACACACACACACACACACACTTATACACACACATGCTCACACATACACATACACACACTCACACATACACATGATTATGATGATAAGGAAAGGGAGAAGTTAGGGAAGAGAGAGACATACGAAAGAGAGGGAGAGAGAGAAATAAATGAAAAGAAAACTATTCCCCTCCACCCCAAGGCCACCCTCTTTGTGAGATGAAGCCATCTGGGATCCATTCTCCATGCAGACAGACTAGTTTTGTTAACAGAGTGCTCTGTGGGAGTAGGAACAGCAAGGGGACTTGTGCCTAGAACCTGGGGACCAGCCCATATGTGTGGCTTCACCTGGGGACCACCCCATGGCATGTGGCTTCATCTAAGAATCACCCCATGTGTGTGGCTTCACCTTTGGCATGCCATCAGTTCCCAAGGAAAGTCCACTGAGGCAAGTTTTGAAACTCATTATGGGTAAGCACCCACGAGAAGGAAACAGTTGGTTTTCTGTGGTAACACTGCCTGGACCAAATGTTCTTTAGAACCAAGGTAGGAAAAGGAAAATGTTCTGAAAATGGATCTTAATAATAGCATTGGACAGAACTCGATTTAAACTCGACAATATAAGCTGCCCCTGGAATTTCTAGACATTTCTTTGGTGTGGTGTCTGCAGCTACTCTTGCACGTTTATTGAGTTCATGACAGCAACTGTCCAATCAGTGGTCTACCCCCTTTGCCAAGTAGATTCAGTCACCTCTTTCTGGTGTCATAGTAGCCTTTGTCACTTTGTCAGCTTGACATGGGCCTATACACACATGAGAAGAGGGAATCCGGCTGAGGAATTGCCTCCATCAGATTGTCCTGTGAGCAAATAAATCCTTTCCTCCACAAGTTGCTTTGGTCCTGGTGTTCATCACAGCCACAGATAGAAAACTAGAACATCTGGTAAAGACATTTTGGAGTTCTGCCTACTGACTATGAAGTATTTTTATATTATTTTTGCCCAGAATATAAAAGATATTCAATAACATGGTTGTGGTTAAATATTTTGGTTTTAATTTTTGTTTTGGGTTGGTACCAGTTTTTTGATAGGGTCTTACTATGTAGATCAAGCTGGCTTCAAACTCACTGTCTTGCTTCTGCCTTGTGAGTAGTGGTTTTCAGGCCTGTGATATCATTCCTGAAGATGTATGATGGGTAAAGACGGAGTTGACAGAGTTGATAAAGATACAAGAGAGATAATAGAGATAGAGATGAAGATAAAAGATGCTGCTGGTAGTGATGGACATAGAAAGAGATAGAAATGGTAGACAGAGGTAAGAGAGATAGACAGAGATCAAGACTGAGGTGGAGATGACATTCACAGAGATGGTGGAGACAGAGACACAGAGACATAGAGATGACAGAGACTGGGATTTTTCAGGGCTTGGGGTCAAATGTAGGGTCTTAGGCACGCTCACCAGTGTCAAGTGCTCTGTCACTGAGCTTTATCCTCAAAGCACGATTAGCATTTTTATTTCCCTTGTCCCAAAAGATAGGACAAGACAAAGATACCCAGGAATGAACCACAAGGACAAAGCTAACAGCAGGGGCGGATGCTCCAGGCTGCCCATAAGCTGCTCTTAACACAGAGCTGCTGGCAGCGAGCCTCTGAAGAGCTTCTGTCTTTCAGAGATTAAGATTTAAATGCCCCCAAATGTCGTTCTGATGGTTTGTCTAAAGTCACTCTGTGAACTCCACTTCAGTGTCCTCTGCAAGCTCACATGGCTCACAGGTTGCTTGTCCACATTCTTCCTCCCTCCTGTATGGGCATGGCTGGCGTAAGGGCCAAGTCTTTTAAATAACATTTCAGATCTCACCTGAAGCACAGTAGTCGCTCAACAGTTGATACGGTAGAGGTTAGATCTGGGAAAGACGGAGCTCACTCAGATGCTGCTGATGCAGCCCCTCCCCAGGCAAGGTGAAGAAACTGAGGCTCAGAGATAGGGACAGGCCAAGGTCTCTCAGGTTAAAACAGAGTCAGGATCTCAGCCACATCTCAGAAATCCAGTTTTACACTCTTCACATATATGTCAGTCACCACGTCACGTGCATGTCATTATATCACGTACACATCACCTACACATCATGTACACATGCCCATATCACACACACACATCCCTACATCACGTACACATCCCTACATCATGTACACATCCCACATCACACACACACCCACATCACATACACACCCACATCAATACACACCCACATCACATACACACCAACATCACATACACACCAACATCACGTACACACCCACATCACATACACACCCACATCAATACACACCCACATCACATACACACCAACATCACATACACACCAACATCACGTACACACCCACATCACATACACACCCACATCAATACACACCCACATCACGTACACACCCCCACATCACATACACACCCACATCACGTACACACCTCACATACACCCCCACATCACATACACACCCACATCACATACACACCCACATCACATACACACCCACATCACATACACACCCACATCACATACACACCCACATCACATACACACCCACATCACATACACACCCACATCACATACACACCCCACATCAATACACACCCCACATCACATACACACCCACATCACATACACACCCACATCACATACACACCCACATCACATACACACCCACATCACATACACACCCACATCACATACACACCCACATCACATACACACCCCACATCACGTACACACCCACATCACATACACACCCACATCACATACACACCCACATCACGTACACACCCACATCACGTACACACCCACATCAATACACACCCACATCACATACACACCCACATCACATACACACTCACATCACATACACACCCACATCAATACACACCCACATCACATACACACCCCACATCAATACACACTCACATCACATACACACCCCACATCATGTACACACCACTACATAACATATACATATTAACTGCCTATTACCAGCCCACCAGAAGATTGTGAAATCTTAGGGAGAGTGTACAACACTGTCCTTGAGCTCCTTCCTTCCTCTCAACTCCTTAAGAATACTCCAAACCTAACTCCGCAAAGCTCACACATGGGGGTTTCACTTACCTGGACCGTGTTTTGTGGTTCTCCTTGTCCAGGCAGCGGTGGGTGTAGGTGTTGGAGGCTTCACTGCGGTCTTTGGTGAAGCTGTGGTCTTGGCTGAGGGCACGTTTGGTTTTTTGCTAGTACTAGCTGTAGTTGAAGAGACAAAAGGAAGAACATGACTACCTGTGAGGAAGGAGCTGCTGGTCATATCGTCTGCGGTTAAAGTCTCTGAGGTAATAGAGTTCTTGGTGGTGGTCCCTGCTGAGGGACTGCTGTCTGAAGTTGAGGAACCAGAGAAGGAGGTTGCTTTTCCCATTGTTGACCTGGGGACTGTAATTGTTCCCAAGACCTCAGTGTGGCCTTGTGTCTCAGTAGAGAGCGCTGAGGTCTTTTTAAGTGGGTTCATACTAACTGTCACCAAAGTTCCATCGGAGGTGGGAATCTGAGCCACTGTTGTTTCTCTTACTGTGACATGAATAGGGAGTGTGCCCTCAAGGGTGGTAGCAAGGACTGAGGTGCTGGATGCTGACAGGGTCCCAGGTGAGCTTGTGGTCTTGGGGCTAAGTAGTTTTGCCTCTGGGGATTGAGGCCAAGTTAGCATCTCAGACGTGGATGAGGCTGTAGCTCCTGTAGGGCTGTGATTTGTGTCTGGGGTCCCAGAGATGACAGATGTTTCTATTTCTGTGATACAGGTGGTGAGCTTAATGTGGGTGATGCTGAAAGCAATTGAGTCCTTGGCTGGAGTTGCAATGTCGGGTTCCAGGACCCGTGAGCTGGTGAGGACCCCACCTGAGCTGTCCGAGGAGGAGCTGCTCTCTGAGGACAGGGATTCGGCTTCTGTGGAGGTGTATGCCAAGGTTAAGAGGTCAATTGTGATCTTCCTTGCTTCTTCAGAGCTGTCATCAGTACAGAGGGTGTCAAAGATGGCTTCTATGGGATCACTCACTGTGCCAGACTTGACAATGCTCATTCCAGTTCTGGGGCTGCCACTTGTAGCCAAAGTATCTGAGGTATCTGTAGGGATGGGGTGCACAACCGTGAAGTTGGAAGGTATTCTTATTGCAAGAGTTCTGGTCTCTGTTACAGAGGAAATGGTCTGGGTCTTTAGGGTCAATTCAACAGGGAAGATGGTCTGGTTCTTTAGGGCCTCTGTTGTAGGGAAAGTGGTCTGGCTTCCCAGGGTTGATGCTTCAGGGGAGGTGGTCTGGATACCCATGGATGATGCTGTAGGGGAGGTGGTCTGGGTACCCAGAGATGATGCTGTAGGGGAGGTGGTCTGGGTACCCAGAGATGATAATGTAGGGGAGGTGGTCTGGGTCTCCAGGGATGATGCTGTAGGGGAGGTGGTGTTCCTGGTCTCTGGTATAGGAGAGATTGTCTGGGTGTCTCTGGAATTGACTTCTGAACTGGTACTGGTTGCAATTAAGGTTTTAGAAGCAGTTTCAGCTTTCAGACTTTGAGTGTCTGGAGGAACACACTGAGTAAAGGCGGGCACTTGTATGTTGTCTGTTGTCACCAAAGGAGCTGGACTGCTGATGCTCAGGCCTGTGACGGGTAAGAACACTTGGTGAGTCCCCAGTAGGCTGACTTCAGGTGAGCGTTTGCATTTATGCCCTGGGTGCTACCGGACTGCACAGAGGGTCATTGTCTATATAAACAAGATGAAGAAGGCAACGCAGAGAAGCCATGGCCTTCACAGCAGCTCCAAAGACAGGCTACCCTGACTAGTGCCCTCTCAAGTTCTGATAATCCCAGTGAGGCCAGGCAGCCCCAGGATCCCCTCTGATCATCAGGGTGCAGTTCAGTGTCCTAGCATTGTGTTGTCAGGGGTGGGCAAAGGAGCTGTGAACTGCAGAACAGGAATGAGGACTTCCAGAACCTTCTGTAGGAACTGTGTCACTCCCCCAAGAGTAATTTGTCCACCCCAAAAATATTTTCTTATGGAAGTATTTCCTTAATATTCAAGAATGACCTACAGTCTCATCTTTAGAGGTAGCTGGTAGGGTAAGGGAAAGGAGCCCCAGCCTGAATGTAATGTGTCCTAGGAAAGAGAGCAGTCAGAGAGCTGAACAGTTCACTTGGGTAAGGAGATTGATTAGGTGAGCATGAGTGCACACGTCTGCAGGAGCGGTGACTGCCTTCTTCATAGACCTCCCCCACTCTCAGGTCCAAGCTATCTATTTCTCTGAGCCTCCTGGTCCACGGAACCCAGCCCAGGTCACAGGATGTTGCTACATTCCTCCTCCATACCTCCAAACTTGGGGTGGGGAGAATGTGGCATGGAGCCGGGTTTGAGTCTCCTCTCTGTTCCTTGTTCTTCTGGGTACTGACTCTGTGACACAGGCCAAGTCTCTGGGCTCCAAATGGAGTGAGGTTGTAAGTTTGCCATTAAACAGAATGGAAATGCAGCATACATCTGGTCAATTGTAAGTGTATGGTCCAGGTTTAGGCACTGGCAGCAGCACACGCTGGCTCTGGGGATAATTACTCTCTCTCTCTCTCTCTCTCTCTCTCTCTCTCTCTCTCTCTCTCTCTCTCTCTCTCTCTCTGTATTGATGAGCTCTGCGTTTGATTGAAAGTCCCTATCTCACGAACTAAGGTGAAAGAGCCTTCAAGGATTACTCACGATACCAACCTCGGACCTCCACATACAACGCACACATGTTCACACACAGCCAAACACATGTGAATCCACACATATGTAAAAACCTTTTTTTTCTCACACACACACATAAAATGGGGAAAATAATTAAATAGATAGATAGATAGATAGATAGATAGATAGATAGATAGATATAGTCTATGTAGCAAGTTCCAGGCAACCAGCCAGGGTCCTGCATAGGAATACTGGGTCAATAAGTAAACAGAATTAAAAGGTTCTGTCTAGTGTGATGTGTCAGTGTGTGGTCATCACTGTAACAATACTGATACTGTGGGGTCACGTACAGCATAAATAGTAAGTACAGGATAAATGAGATATCTCAACACTCTCTACTCAGTTTTGCTATGAACCTAAGTTGCTCTGAAAAACCATCCATTTAAAGCGTGTGTGATGAGTTTGGCATAGTGCCTGTCAGTGACACACCACTGTTAGCTCCCATCTTTCAGAAAAGGTTACCTCTCTCCGAATCTCCCTCTGAGTAGTTTGTGACAAAATCTTCATTCAAAAGGTAAACTTCAGAGAATAACTGTGCTACCTAACAAACTTGGATGAACCGGAGCTTCGCTAGGCCATATTTGTTGGTTTATAGTGAAATTATCACCAGCTAGCATCTTCCTGCCCCTCTACCCTCCCAGCCCACTGTCCCATGCCTGAAGACTAACTCCCAGACTCCCTTACAGTGGTGGCTACGTGCCGCCATGCTTAAGCTGACACATCTGTCATCCTGCACACTTGTTCACAGTGACCATATTTTATGTTCAGCAGGCTGTTATTTGCAATTAACAAAAATGCCTACCTTGCCCACAGAAGGCTCTTTGCCAAAACTCACACCCAGAGTCCTGCCAGAGAGGACCCTCAGGCCCCGCCCTGTCCCTTACCTGCAGAGCTGGCAGTGACTCCTGCCTTCCAGCAGAAGAAAAGAAGATGGACAGCTAAGCCCCAGACAGAGCCCATCCTGCGCGCACTGACCACCGCTGCCTGACAGACCTGCCTGCTACCTCTCCTCACCACCCTTTCCTGCTTCCTCAGTGCAGAGAGGAGGGGCAGCTGCCTGCCCAGGTGTGACTGGGTAGGTTCCAGGATGCAGCCAGGTGAACAAGGGAGGGCTGACACAGGCCTCCCTTCCACCTGCCACCCCTACCCCCTGGCCTGGCAGCCTAGCCTCTCTGATTTGAAGATAGAGCATCATTCATTCCCACTGCTCTGGGAAGGGTGAGGGAGAGATGATGTTTACCCCACACATCCATACCTGGGGGCTGGACTTCGTGGGTAGGACCCGAGTTTCTCTGCTGAGTCTGGATTTTATTGGTTCTAGGGATCAAGGGCAAATGAGAGAACCTTTCCGAGTGTCTCCGGTACATCGCGGGTATTCATAGGAAACATGCCTCCTCCCCTACCGGCAGATGTGAATGTTCCTGTGTCTCAAGGGGACAGTGTTCCAGTGTGGGGCAGGACTCTCTCCTCTAATATCTTTCTATTTTCAACATCCTGGGATTTTGTCTCCACGTCAAAGCCAAGACCACATTCCTAGCCAGTTTCAGGTACCAGGATGTGGTGCCATGCTACACTGAGTCCAAAGGTCTGGGAAGGAGGACCAACGTGAGGGAAATGACTCAGGGGCACTTAGGAGTGAACTGTATTTCCAATGTGCTCCCCTCGAAATGAGGGGACTCATCTCTCAAGGACCAAGGCCAAGGGCTCCTACGGCCACATCTGCTGACTAGACAAGTTCCTTGGGGATTTTTAGTAAGTGCATTTGGATGAAAGTAGTTCTTGGATGGAGCGGATATGATGGATGTCATAGACTCACAGGCATGATGGATGTCACAAACTCACAAAACCAAGAACCAGAAAGAAATTTAAAACTGTATCAAAATAGTTGTCCTGTGTCTGGCTCTGTCCTTAATAGTGGAAGAGAAGCTGTGTGATCTTAAACAAGTAGCTTGCCCACTCTGGGCCTTAGTCAAGAAGAGCTCTGAGGGCTCCTTGGCCCAATAGTCTGGGATTAGCTGCTGGATATGTGACACCATCATCTAAGAATTTTACTCCATACTGAGGTGACAGGCTGTGCAGCCTAGGAAAAAAAGTTGTCATCATCATCTTGTCAGCCTCTTCAGAAGGACTGATGGAATCTGTGTAGAACCACCTGCTACTTGGAGTTGAGTGTCCTTGGAACACAGTGTGTAAGAATACAGTGTGTAAGAACATAGTTTGTAAGAATAGTATGTAAGGACACAGTGTGTAAGAATAGTGTGTAAGGACACAGTGTGTGAGAATAGTATGTAAGGACACAGTGTGTAAGAGCAGTGTGTAAGAACACAGTGTGTGAGAATAGTTTGTAAGGACACAGTGTGTAAGAACAGTGTGTAAGGACACAGTGTGTAAGGACACAGTGTGTAAGAGCAGTGTGTAAGGACACAGTGTGTAAGGACACAGTGTGTAAGGACACAGTGTGTAAGGACACAGTGTGTAAGGACACTGTGTAAGAGCAGTGTGTAAGGACACAGTGTGTAAGAGCAGTGTGTAAGGACACAGTGTGTAAGAGCAGTGTGTTGGCAGAGCCTCTTCATTTCTGCAAATCTCTACAGGCAGAGAGCAGAGGAGGTTGACTGCACCTCCTCTGGACTTTGGGAGACCTCACCAAGCAGCCATGACCCCATGTGAAACTCCCCCATCAAGTAATGGAGAGAATGCAGCAGGAGGGCCCTCCTCCTCTCTCCTGCCACACCCCTGCTGGGCCAGGGGCTTCCTCATTCCAGGAGCAGGTAGGTCCCCACCTCTGAGCTTAATCCACTGGCAAGTGTTCATTCAGGTGCCTTTTTCACCCCAACAAGGAATTCCCCACTCCATTTCCTCCTCACCTGATCAAGAACTTGTGCATAAAGAGAAACAAACAAACAAACAAACAAAACCCTAAGAAGCACTGCACAACTTCAGTACTGAATGACAGGTGAGGCAGTGGTAGGCACAGCTACAGAAAGGTCAAAGCAGGAAGATTCCTGAGCACCAGAGCCACTGTGGCTGGACTCACAGGAGTGTCGGGCATGGTATGGGGACAGCAGAATGGCCGGGGAGGGTAATGTGGATCTCATGCCTATCTGAGGCTTTTTCTACCAAAATACCACAATAGAGTTTCAGTGGCTTCATTCCATAAAACAGAATGAGCGTTCCTTAGCGAGAGCTGAGCTGGCGAAGAAGAATGACAAAAGGATCAGGGAAAAAAAAGGACAGGGGGCCTGGATAGGCACACACACACACACACACACACACACACACACACACACACACACACACACACACACGCACACACGCACACCACCCTTCATACACACCCCCATCCCCTTCCCCCTCCACCCCAGCACTGAAAGCCAAAAGAAAACCAAAAACAAACAGTGGCTTGGTGACTTCCTTTCCTGGTAAGGTGTGAACAGGGAAATAGACAATGAATACTGACTGGTTAATATCAGGTCTCTTCGTTTGTTTGTTTTTTCTTTTGGGTAAGAGCTAAGCAGAAGGAACTCCAGCTCCTGCTCTCAAAATTTGGCAATTGACTTCTGATTTCTAGTTCAGGTGACATAGTTTCAGGGACCTGAGACTAAAGTGACTCCATTTGGTCTGTTGGCCTGGCTTGGGAGCCTTGTCTGAGACAATGGCACCCTATCACTTCTAACCTGGCAAGCAAGTGAGCTGAAGGTGTCCCCCAAGAGCTCTGAGCAGAGGGATAGAAGGCCAGACCGTGAGAACCCTGGCATTGTGGGAACCCTGGCAGCTGTGTTAAAAACACAGTAAAGACATAGTTTGGTGGCTTTTGCCCCAGTGTGTGTGACTTGGGATGGTGGGGAAGGAAAGGCCTGCTAAAGCTCTCTGATTAGTGTCTAGGAGAAAGAGAAGGGGAGGAGAGGAAAGCACGTGGGACTAGGAAGATTGAGTCAGGGGAGGAATAGACGAGAGGAGAGAGAGAGAAAGACAGAGAGAGAGAGAGAGAGAGAGAGAGAGAGAGAGGCCATAAAAGAAGGAGCCATTATAGGTTTGAAGAGAAAACTGACTCTAGAGAAATATCCAGAGACCTACAAGGATGACCCAAGCTAACAATCTGAGCAACAGTGGAAAGGCTACCTTAAATGCCCTTCCCTGATAATGAGATTGACGACTAACTGATCCACCATCATAGAGCCCTCATCTAGTAGCTGATGGAAACAGAAGCAGACACCCATGGCTAAATACTGAACCGAACTGGAACCCAGATGCAGAGAGGGAGAACAAGACCAGGCTTCAGAAACCCACACAGACAGCTGTCCTGAACAAGGGGGAACTAATGGGCCCCCAGACTGATATCTGGGAATCCAGCACTGGACTGACTCAGACCCCCTGAACATGGGTCTCAGTTAGAAGGCCTGGGCAGTCTAAGGGACCTCTGACAGTGGAACCAGGATGTAGCCCTGGTGCACTAAAGGACTTTGGGAGCACATTCCCCATGGAGGGATACTCCCTTAGCCTAGAGGCAGGGGGGAGGACCTAATTCCTACTCCAAATGATTTGACAGATTTAGATGACCCCTCCAGGAAAGCATCACCCTACATGTGGAGTGGGGGTGGTGGTGGGAGGGGACGGTGGTTGGGGGCATGGGAGGGGAAAAAAGAAAAAACAAAAGTAGAACCAGAGAACAATCCACTTTGATGGCCATGAGATGTCAGAGTAAGGTCGGGGACCAGTGCATACTCTCAGCCTGATGTCAGTCAGGAAGAATCCTGGTGCCACCAGCACCACTTAGAATCTGCTCTCCCACCCTCTTCCCCCCACAAAACCAGGGCATATTGTGGCGTGTGATTCTGATTGGGGATATGGGCCTAATAGACTCAGCATAAATGTCCTGGAAATGCAAAGCCATTGTGTGCTAGACATGGAGCTGATCCCTAGCTCCATGGACCACAGCCACGAGACAGTCTGGGTTTCTTGTGAAGATAGTCTCCTTCTCCCAACTTGGGTCTCAGAGTTGGGGCTTGCATAGCACTCGAGAAAAGGACAAACTTTAATTAGAAGTGTGCTTGGCTGTGCTCATTATCAATAGCTCACTGAACAGCCAGAATGAAATGTTTATACACCAAACTTAGCAGAGGGTGCAGGGTTTAGGCCACGATAGGAAAAGTGTGAATGCAGCTATGAGGTTTGTTTATGCTCACAGGATGGACAGTCTGACTCCAAGGCAGACAGAGGCAAGAAACTGTGCTAACCCTGTGTTTCTAAGGAGCTCTGTTTTAACCAGATAAATTAGGATATGATATTGCCAAGCCCCGATTATTTTCACTTTAGAAAGATCTTTATGCAGCACTAAGGAGATGGCTCAATGGGTGGGGTGCTTGCCTCTAAGATGAGGAGGGCTTAGGTCTGATCCCCAGGACCCACAGAAAAATGTCAGATGTAGTGGTGTGTGCTTGCAATCCCAGAGGAGACAAACATAGAAGGATCCTTGGGACTAACTGGACAGCCAGGCTAGCCTAATTGATGATATCTAGGCAAACAAGAGACCCTGTCTCAAAGGAAGTAGACAATGTCCCTGAGGATGCCACCTGAAATAATCTTCCAGCCTCCAAATGAATGTGCTTATAAGTGCACATGCACACACACACACACACACACACACACACACACACACACATGCACGCACACTCACACACACGCACACCTTCTTCATGCCACCTATGGGGTTCTGGGAGAATCTCACAAGTTCTACATGCTGTGCAAGAACAGTGTGCAAGGACACATGAGGATTGCAAATTCAAGGCCGGACTGGGGTAGCATGAATTAAATGCCTCCCTGGGAAACTTAGTAAGACCTTGCCTCAAAGTAAATGTTGAAAACAGAATTAGGAATACAGCTCAGTGTCAGAGAGCTCACCTAGCATGAGGCCTCTGGATCCATCACCAAATCAACACAAAATAACTACAAACAGGCACCCTCCCACCAGCATTCCCCTTCCAATGTAAGCATTTTCTGTCACCGTGAG